GATTCGGCTAGTTTTCCCTCGTCCGTCCCTCTCTCTCTTTGTACCCACTCCCCGTCCTCGTCTTGAGAATCCAAAGTCTCTGTTCCCCCTCCCTCCTCTCCCTCCTCCCCTCGACCGATCGTCGGCGAGCACGGGCGGACGGACAAGGCGGGGGCGACGGACAGGAGAGGTGGCTCGAGCGTCCGTCGGCGAGTCCGCGGCGCCGGCGCCTCCTCGCCGGCGCCGGCCTGCGTCGCTCCTCGCTCTTCGCTTCTCAGGCTCTCGAGCTCCCGACACGGCTGTCGACTCGCTCGACTCCCACTGCTTTGCGCCCACCGACGATGGCGCTCCACTACATCGTCGCGCTCCTCGCGCTCGCGCCTCATCTTTTCGCTCGGGCGGCAGTTCAGCCGACCTGGCCTGGCGGCAAGGGCCTCGTGTTTCGCGCCGGCGACGAGTGCAGCTTCCGGTACAAGGTCGACACGACGGGCACCTGGACGAGCATGGCGGTCGACCTGATGTCGGGCAGCAACTTCGAGATGGTGCGCCTCCTCTCTTTTTCTTTCTCCTGCCCCGGCCTCTTGTTCCTCGATTCCGAACTGACATCCCGAGACTGGAAAACAGGTCGAGGTCATGCGCATCGCCTCGGGCTTGGACGGCACCGTCGGGAACGAGGACGGCACCGCCGAGCTCAACTTCACGTGCCCGTGGGTCGACCCGCCCGCGCCCATCTACTTCATCGAGGCGACCCAGGACGACAAGGACCCGGTGTGGACCAACCGCTTTGCTCTCGCGGCACCGAACGGGACCGTCGTGCGTCCCAGTTGTCGCCTTCCTTTTCCTCGGCGTACCTGACTGACCCTCTCTTGCCACGACGCTCCTCAGGTTCCCGCCCACCACAACGAGCAGCCTGACGACGAGTCGATCCCGTGGGGCGTCGGCGCGCTCGTCAACGGCACCGACTCGAACTCGACCGCCAACTCGACGACGACCGACGACCCGCTCACGGCCAGCCCGTTCCCGAGCCCGATCATGCCGAGCAACTGGCTCAAGCCGTTCCTCGAGGGAGCCACATCGACCGTTCATGGTTCCGACATCCCCGTCACGCCGTCGTCGACCGCGACTGCCGTCCTTTGGGGCGCCGCCGCCGCCGAGACGTCGACCGCCATCACTGGCTTTTCTCGCGCCGAGCGCTGCGACAAGTCGTCGCAGTGCCCCGAGAGCGCGCCATGCTGCTCCGAGGAGGGCTTCTGCGGCACCGGGCGCAACTGCCTCGCCGGGTGCGACCCGCTCGCGAGCTTCCAGCCTCAAGCCTGTGCGCCTGTTCCAGCATGCATCGACGCCGAGGTGCGTCCTCTCTCTCTGCCTCTTATTCTCTCTCTCGTACTGGCCTGACAACGTCTTTGACGCGTCGCAGTACCAGCTCAAGGAGGTCAACCGCGTTGTCGCCAACTCGTCGACCTGGAACGGCGACCCGATCGCGTACGACTGGCTCGTCGACAAGCGTGCGTCCCACTCTCTCTCTCTCTCTCTCTCTCTTCCTCCTCTGTGTCTGACAGCACCTGTTCCTCGTCGCGCAGTCGGCAACCCGGACCTCGGCGCCGTCACGGTCGACTCGGAGACGGGCACGACCTCGTTCACCCTGAGCCTCACCGAGCAGGGCAAGGGCACCGTCATCACCTCGACCCGGTCGCTCCTGTACGGCAACGTGACGGCGCAGATCAAGTCGGTCGCAGGCGCCGGCATCCTCACGTCGTTCGCGCTCGTGAGCGGCTCGGGCGACGAGATCGACTTTGAGTGCGTCGCCTCGATTTCGCCACGACCTCGGTCCTGCCACTGACTCGTCCACAATGCGCAGGTTCACGACAAACTCGACCGAGATCGCGCAGTCAGCCTACTTCTTCGAGGGCGACGTCGACGACTGTGCGCCGCTCGGACCCCTCCTTTTCAAGTCGCCCAAACCTGATCAAGCCCTCGTCCCGCCGGCGCAGATTCAGCGGGTCAAGCGCTCAACGTCTCTGATCGTGCCGCCGACTTCCACAACTAGTGCGTGTCGCCGTTCGTCCTCGAGCTCGTCGTCGTCCTGACCGCCTTGCGCCTGTCCTGCCGCAGCACGCTCGCGTGGACGCCCGAGTCCATCACCTGGTGCGTCTCACTCTCATTCTTTACAGACAGGGTACGGGGCACTGATTCTCCTTCCACACACAGGCTCGTCGACGGCGTCGCGCTCCGCAACGTCTCGAAAAACTCGACCGCCGACCTGCTCGACCCGACCTCGTTCTCGTATCCGCAAACCCCGTCTCGCATCCAGTTCTCGTGCGTCTCGAGATCTACGTCCTGTCCTTGTCACCAAGAGGTCGCTCACAAGCCCTCCCGCTGCAGGATCTGGGCACCCGGTCGCGACGAGCAACCTGAAGGACTCGTTGACTTTGCTGGCGGCGCCGTGGACTGGAACGCGACCGACTACACCGAGAAGGGCTACTATGCCTCGTACAGTGCGTCGCACCCTCCCCTTTTCGCGTCGTCGCCCGAGTCCGCCCTGACCTCGTTCCCGCTCGGACCTCGCAGTCTCGGGCGTCCATGTCGCGTGCTACGACCCGTCGCTCCTGCCCGCTCTCGTCCTGAACGCCACCTCGTCTGGCTCGTACAACTCGTCAGCCGGCCTCGACACATCGGCGTCGGCGGCAGCCTCGGCTCCGGTTCCCTCGTCCTCTTCCTCAGCCTCCTCCTCGGCCGCCGCCGAGGCGGCCTCGCTCTGGTGGACGCCGCCAGCTGTCGATGCGGGCGCCGCTGCCGCCGTGCCGTCAGCTGCTTCACCTGTCGCTACGCCTTGGTGGTCGCCGTCGTCGAGCAAGTTTCGTCGACACGTTCAACTTGAGAAGGTCAAGCGGGCCGAGGAGCCACTCGTCGGCAGCTACTCGTACGGTCTCGACGAGCACGGCGCTCTCTCGGTCGTCGGCGGCAACCTGGCGACGACCATTGAGAACGACCAGGCCACCGGGCTCAGCAGTGCGGCCCCTCTTTCCCTCTCCTCTCGAGGCACACACTCTGACTCGTTCTCTTGCGATCCCGCAGTGCTCAACGCGCTGCAGGCGCTCGCCTCGGTCGCCTCCTCCGCCGTCTCTGCGTCGGCCACCGCGACGGCGACGGCGACGCTCACGACGGCCGACTCGACCTCGACCGCGAGCGCTACCGGCGAAGCGCCGACGATCCAGCAGAAGTGGGACGCGCTCGGAACTGGTGCACACGTCGGAATCTAGTGCGTCCGGCTCTCTCTTCTGCCCTTGACCCGAATTGACGAGCTTGACCCTGCAGCATCGGCGGCGCCGTTGTCGCGCTTGTGCGTCACCTTCTCCCTCTCCCTCGTCGAGTCGTGTTCTCGACTCACCTTTCCCTCTCACAGTTCCTCCTCGTGCTCGTCGGCTGGCTCTGGCGCAAGGCCGCCTCGGCTCGGAGCGGGTCCAAGGGCACGCCGGGTCCCGACGCCGGCGGCGCCTACTGCCCCATCAGTGCGTCTGTCTGCCTCTCTCTTTCTACATCTCGGTCCTTCTGAATCTCTCTCTCTCTCTCGCAGACGACCAGGGCGAGATGATGCCGACGGGTGCGTCCTCGTCTCGCTCGCCTTCCTCGTTCTCGAGCTCACTCTCGACCCCCTCTCACAGGCCAGATCTACTCGGGCAGCGGCGAGATTCGCCCAGGCCAGGACCTCTACTCCGGCGGCCAAGCTCCTGCCGCCTCGACCTCGGCCGCCGCCGCCGCCGCCGCCGCCGCCGCCGCCGCAGCAGCTGCCCCGCTCCGCCGCTCGTCGACCAAGTCGTCGTCGCGCAGCAAGTACAGCGCCGGCGCGCACGGCTACGTCCCGAGCAGCCAGCTCAAGGAGCAGTACGAGGTGGGCTACCAGCCGCAGGCGATGCGCCAGGTCTGAGCGAGTTGGGCGAGGAGAAGCAGTTGTCCGGCGCGATCGCGAGGTGGAGCGAGAGAGGAGCGTAGCAGCTCTTGTGGAACGCGAGTCTCGGCTATCTATCGCATGTGCACGAATCGCCCGAGAGTACAAGGAAAGGCTGCTCTCGGAAGAACTAGAGTGAGGCAAAGCGGCGTTTCAAAGCTCTCAAGCGCACGGACCTTCCCGCTCCTCCTCCTCCTCCTCCTCCCGCTCCCTCCTCAAGCACTCCCGCCCTCGCTCGTCTCTCCCACGCTCACACGCACTCCATGCCGCCCCACTCGAGCACGCGGAAGAGCGACTCGTCGCGCGCCTTGACCTCGTCGACGCCCCGACGCGCACCCAGTCGACCTCGGCGGCGCTGCTCGACGACGACGCCGTGGTGCCCGCCTCGACGCCCTTGAACAGCAGGAACACGCGTGTCACGACGTCGGGCTTGGGCTCGACCTCGAGCTCGGCGGCGCGAGCGTACTCGGCCTGCGGGACGAAGCGGAACAGGATGTCGTTGCCGGCGTCGCGGATGCGGGTGAAATGCGGGAGCCAGAACGTGATAAAGTCGTTGCGCGCCGACGTGTGGAGCGTGAGGGACGACAGGGCGGCGTCGAGGTGGGCGAGGAAGGGCGAAAAGGCGAGGACGACGCCGTTCGAGAGGTCGAGCGACGGCGACGACGGGTGGAACGACGGCTCGAGGTTGACCTGCCGCGACGAGTGCGTCGCCGACGACGACGACGTGACGAGGCCGGTCGACGTCGCCTCCCAGAACAGGTACGACAGCTCGAGGCCCGACGAGAGCTCGACGAGCGACCCGTCGGGCTCGGCGGCGACGGTCCACTCGACGCGCTGCTTGACCTGCTCGGCGCCCTTGTTGCCCTCGACGACGACGAGGTCCTTGTTGATGTCGATGACCGGGTACAGCGCCGAGAAGGTCCACTCGGGCGACAGGGCGAGCGAGACGACGGCGCGAGGGATCGACGCCGGCGGGAACAGGTAGATGACCGGCTTGCCGCCAACCGCGCGAAAGACGAGCTGCAGCGTCGCGTATGGCTGAATGTTGTAGTCCGAGAGCGTCCTTCCATCCTCGAGCTGCTTGCCGTCGAAGATGAGGCGCTGTTGATCAGCCGACCTGTTGACCGCGTACACGAGCATCTCCTTGATGTGATCGACCGTGTCGCTCGACTGTACCCTGGCCTCGTACTGCGCAAAGCGCGACGCTTCAGTACGGTGTCGACCGAGAAGAAAGTTGAGCGGGTGCGCACCGTGGGTCCCCCTTCCACCGTCTGCACGTAGACAGGAAACCCCAACGACACCAAGTCAGGCTGTTGCTCGGCCATCCGGCGTTGAACTGGCGAGGGCATCATGGGCGTCTTGCGCTTCTTGGCCGGCGGCGACGAACACCTGGCACGCTCGTCGACCTCGACGTCCTCGTCGCCGTCGAGCTTGCGCCGGGGCAGCCGTACGTCGTCGACATGCTGAAGACGGTCTTGGGGCCCTCGGTCGTGAGCTCGACATGTCGAGCGTGCGGGACGGGCGGAACAGGGTCGCGGCGCTGGCGCTTGACGGTGTTGGTGCCGGGCTCGCTCGAAAGCCGGACGGCCTCGTCGTTGTTGAGCCAGACGGCGAGGCACTTGTCGCCATCCTGGACGTTGAGCACGACGTCGTACTGGCCCGCTGTGGGCGGAGCGGGCGGCGTTGGCGGCGCGACAGGGGCTTTTGAGCCGGCGGCCGAGGTGGACGCGCGGCTGCGAGACGGGTTCAGGTCAGAGCGCATTCTTTGAAGTGCAAGAGGACGAAGGACGTACGTGGATGCTCGAGGTGCCATCGCTCAGTCGGTCTTGACGAACGCGCGAGGCTGAGGCGGTGGACGAGCGACGAGGAGCGGGAGAGGAGCAGAGAGCGAGTGTCGCGTGGGCGGTTCTTGGAGTGCGTGCAAGTTGTCGAGGGTCGTATCTGTAGCGAGTTGCAGTACAGCCAGGAGGCTCTCGACGAGGCGGGCTGGTCGTAGCTGAGGCAGAGGGGCGAGTCGAGGGAGAGGAGGAGATGGCTCCCCACCTCACGCCCTCACTCGCTCAGAGAGGGCACCGGCACCCGCAGTCGACTCTTGCACACTGCCAGATGCGCCCCGACCAGCGCTGAACCGCCCCAATGCCGTTCTCGCTCGCGTCCCTCATCAGCACCCCGCTCTCGCTCGCGTCGTCGGTCCTGCCAGGGATCCCGAGCGTGCCCTTGCCGGCCAACCTCCAGCAGCGACTCGTCGCCTTCCTCCTGCGCCGCACCCTCGGCCGCTTCCTCAAGGGCGGCCTCGACGATGACCGTGTCCAGGCCGACGTCCGCGCAGGCCGCTTCGTCCTCCACGGCGTCCAGGTCGACGAGCAGGTGAGCGCAGTACCACCAAGACAACCTACTCGTACCCTCACAGGCGGCGCTGACTCTCTCTCGCGCGCGCAGGCCATCAACTCGCTCCTCTCCCCCACCGCGTCCGACGACCCCGACCCGCCACCACCCTTCCCTCTCCAGCTCCAAGCCGGCACGATAGGGTGCATCACGGCAAACGTAGCCTGGCCCCTCACCAAGCTCGACCTCGCCGTCGACGACGTCGAGCTCGTCTTCCGCGTGGACGCCGCACCTCCTCCCGACTCGCCGCATCCGTCGCCAACCGACCCAGCTCCTCGCCCGTCCGACAAAGACGACAACTCGACATTCGACGACGAGGCCGCCCTCTCGATGTCGATCGCCCACTCGTTCGTCTCGCACGAGTTGCGTCCAGACGAGGACGCCGAGCTGCGAGCGTCGCTCCACCTCTCGCCCTCTGCCTCGTCCGCCTCGTTCGACCTCCCCGGCGCGTTCGGCGGCGCACGTCGAGACGTTCCAGCCGGAGCGGGCGACGACGAGGCCGAGATGGTCGAGACGACCGTCATGGCGCGGTGGGTCGAGCGGGCCCTCGCGCGCCTCGAGGTGCGCGTCAGCCGGGTCCGGGTCCGCCTCGTGTGGGACGCGCAGGCCGTCGAGGCGGGCGACGACGGCGGCGGTGGCGGCGAGCACGAGGCCGAGGCGCGCATCGACGAGGTGCTGTGCCGCGGCGACGCCGGCGAGATCGCCGGGACGCGCAGCCTCGAGGTGACGCCGCCCAGGGTCTACCTGCGCTCGGCGCCCGCCCCGCCAGGCACACCGCGTCCCGTCGCGCAGGACGAGCCCGAGCAGGCGGGCTACGCGTCGGGCAGCTCGGAGGACGAGTCGGACGACAGCGCCGACGAGAACGACTTGCTCGCCATGTCGCAGTCGATCGCCGACCTGCGCACGTCGATCCACTCGTCGGCGTCGTTCTCGTCGGCGCGCGACATGTTTCACTCGGCGGCGGGCGGGTTCAGCACGGTCGAGGAGGGCGAGGACGAGGACGAGGCGGACGACCCGTTCCAGAACCCCGACGGCGGCACGCCCGACGTCTTCGAGACGCCCCGGTCGAGCCCAAGTCGTCGAGACGAGACGCCTCTGCCGGCCGAGCCGACGAGCACGCGCACCGGCGACGACTGGCACCTCGTCGTCTCGCTCGGGCCGCCACCATCCTCCTCATCGTCGCCGGAGCCTCGTCTCGCCTTCTTCCTCACCACCGCCCTCCCGCCAGTCCCGTCCAGCACCTCGTCGTCCGACAAGCCGCCACGACGACGCCCGACGACGACGCTCCATGCCGACCTGTCGCAGCCCTGGACCGTCGCCCTGCAACCAGCGCACCTACCCGCCCTCGGCTCCCTCGTCGCGCAGCTCTCGCCGCCGAGCTCCAGCCCGCCTTCGAGCGTACAAGTGCCGGCACCCAAGCCGGCCGGGGCGGGCCTGCACGTCGACCTCGCTCTGCGCGCCGTCAACCTCGTCCTCCTCCTTCCTCCACTCGACAGCTCGCCCGACACCGCCATGCGCGCGATCTGGGCCGCGGGACCCGATCCGCTCTCCTCCCCATCCTCCCCCATCAAGGCCCCGCACGTCCGCCTACGCCTCGACGCCCTCGCCTTCCGCTCGGCCCCATCGTCCCCTTCCGCCTCGCCCGAGATCATCCTGCGGCACGTGTCGCTCCTCGAGGCGCACGCGCACCAGGGCACGTGGCGCACGGTCCCGCTCCTCGTCGACGACGTGGGCCTGCCGCGCACGCTCTCGGCGCACGCGGCGGTCGAGAGCGTCGACTGGCTCCGGCCCGAGCAGGCGCTCTACGGCAAGGACTGGCGCGTCCTGCCGGCGCGCAAGCGCCGCGTGTACACAGCGCCGCAGCCGAGCGTGACTGCGGGCGCGAGCGCGAGCGAGGACGAGGCGCGCGAGCCTGAGCCGGCGGTGCGAGTGCGCCTGAGCGCGCGAGGCGAGCCGACTGAGGTCCGGCTCGCGCCTGTCCACGCCTTTGCCGACGCCGGCGCGCTGAGCAGGCTCGGGCCGCTCCTCGACGCCGTCGTCGACGCGCTCCCGTCCTCGGCACCGGCGCCGTCCTCGACCGAGCCGCAGCGGCAGCACGGCCGCCTCGACGACCCGTCGGCCGCCTCTTCTTCCATCACCCTCTACGTCCCCCTCCTGCGCCTCGACATCCGCATCCCTGCCCCTCGCCGCCATCGCCTCTCGACCGGCGACTCGCTCGCCCTGCGCGGCGGCCGCATCGTCCTCGACCTCCTCGACGCGACCGCATCGCTCGGCGGCGACGCGACGCGCGTCCGCGCAGGGGGGCTCGCCGGCTACTTTGCGTCCGCGTCGCCGGGCACGACGTCGGCGGGCGAGTTCCTCCGCATCGCGCCGCTCGCCGACGAGCCTGACGCGGTTCCGCCGACGGTCACGCTCGCGAGCAGCGCCAATGGCGCGCCCATGGTCGAGCTCGCCGTCCCGCTCCTGCACGTCGAGCTCGACAAGCCGACGTGGGACGGCCTGCAGCTCGTCGCCGACGACGCGGGCCAGTTCGTTGAGGAGCTGCGGCGCGCGGCGGAGGAGGACAGCGAGGAGGACGACGACGATGAGAGGCGAGGGAGCGGCCGGCTCATCGGGTCGAGGTACTTTGGGGCGGGAGCGGGTCGAGCGAGTGAGACGGAGAGTGCGGCGAGCGTGGCGACGGTGCGAGGAGGAGGCGAGGAGCGGGCGGGACAGGGAGGGAAGGGCACTAGCCTCAGGGCTCTCGTCACGGACGGTGCGTCCCCTCTCTTCTCCCGTCGTCTAGGAGCGCAAACTGATACCGCTTGGCCACACAGTCGTCGTCGACCTGCACCTCGACCCGCTCGATCTGACCCTCGCCGCCTCGAAGCGACACGTCCGCCTCCTCGCGAGCGACCTCGGCGCTCGAGTCGACGTGCTCACGACGGGCAAGGACAACCTGCGCGCGTCGGTCAGCATCATGGACGTCCGCATCGAGGACGTCACGAAGCAGAGCGGCGACGTGCCGCCAGTCGTCGTGCTCGCCAGGACCATGCCGAGAAACCTTGTGCGTCCTCCTCTGTGTCCTCCTTTCTCGAGCACGAGGAGCACGACTGACTTCTTGCTGTATCGCAGACCGCGCCGTCCTCGCCGCTCGTCGACCTCGTCTTCTCCAGCTCGGGCGAGAAGGAGTCGAGCCTCAAGGAGAGTAAGATCCAGCTCGCCCTCAGCAACTTTACCTACTTTGCGACGGCCGACATCGCGTGGCTGGAGGAGCTCGGCGTGTTCGCCAAGTCGCCTGCAGGCGTGCGTCCCCTGACCTAACTTCCCGCGCTCCTCGTCCCCTCCCCTCACTGACTCCCTTGCTCGTCCGTCTACAGGCCTTCGAGCACGTCGTCCCGAACGAGCTCACCCGACTACGTGTCCGCCTATCGTCCGCCTCCCTGCACGTCTCGGCCCTGTCTCGGCCGTCGCACGTCGTCCTCGTCATCGCCGACGCCCGGCTGCGCACCGACCTCATGCCCGACTTGCCGCGCACTACGCTCGCCGTCGAGGTCGCAGGCGTCAAGTTCGGCATGGTCGACAGCGAGGCGGACGTCGTCAAGGAGGACGGCAAGGTCGCGCGCGAGTCGGCGTGGGCGCACTGGAAGGTCCGTCCTCGTGCCTCTTCTCGCCTCGCCTCACTCTCGGCGCCGGACTGACTCTCTTCTCGAACACAGAGCATGGGCTTCGCGCAGATGCTCGATATCCAGAGCGCGTCCATCACGGCTCGTCAAGGCAACGGGCTCATCCTGCCCGACCTCGAGGTGCGTCCCTCTTCCCCTGGACCCTCTCCTCGACGCCTTGGACTCACTCTCCGTCTCTCGATCAGCTCCTCGTCGACGGCGCCAAGATCGAGCTGTCCCTGTGCGCCGACACGATGTCGAGCCTGCAGGCGTTCGTGGCCGACCTGTCGAGCGCGCCCGCGTTTCAGCCCAAGCAGTGCGTCCCTCGTGTCCTCCCTCTGCCGCCTTCTCGTCCTTCACTAACGCTTCCTACACCCTTCCAGGCCATCTTCATCGACCTCGACTCGCCGTGTCCCGGTGCGCGCACGCTCGCGCGACCTCCTCGCCAGCCTCGACCCCGCCGCGTTCGAGCATGCGCCCTCGGTGCACGATCTGCCCGAGATTCTCGACGACGACGTTCCCGCCAACCTCGACTACCTCGCCGACGCCCTCAACCAGACGAGCATCCGTCCGAGCCCGAGGCGCAACTCGCTCGGCTCGTCGGCCAAGAACCAGGGCGAGCTCCTGAGCGAGGTCGACGGCGAGACGATCCGCATGTTCGCGCCTCGTGGCCTGCACATCATCGACGACTGGCTCGCCGAGTCGAGGATCGACGACGCCGACTATTCGTGCGTCCTCTTCTCGCCGCCTTTGTCGTCCTCGCCCGCCCTGACTCGTTGCCGCCCTTTGCAGAGCTCCCGCCAGCAAGATCCGCTGTCGCTTCACCGACGCCGACATCACGATCCACCTGCACGAGGGCTACGACTGGGCGTCGACCCGCAAGGCGATCGAGGAGGAGGCCAGAGCCGTCCGCCGCCGGCTCGAGAAGATCCGCCAGCTCCTCTCGACGGGCCAAGCGCCCGACGCGTCGGCCGAGGACGCCTCGGTCCTCATGTTCGGCTCGGTTCAGCTCGGCCTGCCGCCCGGAGCGAGCGAGCTGCCGCCCAAGGAGCTGCTCGCCGCCATCGACGAGGAGCTCAACGCCGACTCGCGCTCGGACGTCGTCAGCACGGCGGCGAGCAGCTGGCAGACCTTGCCCGCCGGTGGCTCCTCGTCGCGTCGCGTCGCACCTCCCGCTGTCGTCGGCAAGGGGCGCAAGCGCCTCACGCGGTCCAAGGCGTTCGCGATCGAGGTCAACCTGCGCGGTCTCGGCGCGAGCTTCGACGCCTACCCGTCCTCGCCCGCCTCTCTTGCCGCATCCATATCGGCGGGTGCGACCGAGCAGCTCGCGACCAAGATCCAGGCCGACGTGGTCGAGTTCGAGATCATCGACAACATCAAGACGTCGACGTGGCGCAAGTTTCTCACCGAGCTGCGGCCCAACGACGGCGGCAACGTGCGCCCGACCGGTGCGCCGATGGCGAGGGTCGAGATGAGCACGGTGCGGCCCATCGGCCGGGTCGCTGACGCCCAGGAGGAGATCCTCATGAAGGTGCGCCCCTCTCGCTCTTCTACCCACTCCTCGACTCGCCGACCTGACCAGCTCTCGCCTTGCAGATCAAGATCTCGCCGCTTCGCCTGTACGTCGACCAGGACGCGCTCGACTTCCTCAAGGCGTTTGGCGCGTTCGAGCTGTCGTCGGCGGGCAAGGCGCCAGCGAGCGCTCCCTCGAGCTCGCCCTCGCAAGAGCCCTTCTACCGTGCGTCCGCCTCTTGCTCTCGCCTCGTCGTCTCTGTGCAGCCTCCTGACCTGAGCACGCCTGTCTCGCAGAGCGCGTCGAGGTCCTGCCTGTCAAGCTCAAGCTCGACTACAAGCCCAAGCGGGTCGACTACAACGCGCTCCGCAGCGGCAAGACGGCCGAGCTCATGAACTTCTTCCACTTTGACGGGTCCGAGATGACGCTTAGGCACCTCGTCGTCAACGGCGTGCGTCCCCTCGTCCTCCTCCCTGTTGGTGCGAGAACGAAACTCACGCTCTCTCTCTTGTCCGCGCGCAGATCTCGGGTACGACGACGCTGTCGTCGCTCGTGCAGGACATCTGGACGCCGGACGTCAAGGCGCACCAGCTCGCCGACGTCATCAGCGGCATCGCGCCCGTGCGCTCGGTCGTCAATGTCGGCGCGGGCATGGCCAACCTCGTCCTGCTCCCGATCGAGCAGTACCGCAAGGACGGGCGCGTCGTGCGCGGCCTCCACAAGGGCGCGAGCGCGTTCGCGCGCCAGACGACGCTCGAGGCCATCAACGTCGGCGCCAAGCTCGCGACGGGCACGCAGGTCATCCTCGAGCAGGCCGAGCACGTCCTCGGCGCGAGGTTCGCCGCGCCGCTCGCGCTCGAGACGGTCGCGGCTTCGTCTTCCTCGTCGTCGGCATCGGCATCGGCGGGTGCGGCACACGGCGACGGCGAAGCGCTCGTCGTCGGCGAGGAGGGCCTGTCGGACGAGGAGCGGCGCGAGGTGCGCAGCCGGTACGCGTCGCAGCCGGCCGATCTGCGTCAAGGGATGCAGAGCGCGTACAAGAGTCTCGGAGAGAACTTCAAGGAGGCGGCCCAGACGATCCTCGCCGTGCCAATGGAGGTTTACGAGCGGTCCGGGACCGAGGTGCGTCCCCTCTCTCTCTTTCGATCTCTCTTCGCCGATCTCGCCGCTGACTCCTCGCTTCCAAGCAGGGCCCCGTTCGCTCGGTTGTACGTGCCGTGCCCGTCGCCGTCCTCAAGCCAATGATCGGCGCGTCGGGCGCCGTCAGCAAGGCGCTCCTAGGGCTGCGCAACTCGCTCGACCCGGACGCGCAGACGGGCGAGCTCGAGGACAAGTACAAGCCGACGACGTCGGCCTCGAGGAGGCGCTAGAGGTGCACGAGGTGGTGGTCTCGGTTCTGTGCGCGGCGTTCGCCTTTGTGTGTTGTAGCTCTTCCTCCTCGCGTCCTCGTCCTCGTCGTGTTGTTCGTCCCCCTTCCTCGCGCTCGCGTCGCACTTCGCCTCCCCTCTGTTCCCCTTGTCGTTGCAACTTAGCTCTCGTCTTGATGGGCCTCTGTTCGCGTGGCTCGCGGTCACGGTTGTGAGGAGAGCGGCTCTGCGCGGCCACTGGCACTTGCTCGCGCTCGCTCGCATGCGACACAACCTCGGCATGGCGGCCTTGCTGGCTTCGCTGCAGTCCTGTGCGTGCCTGTTCTCCTTCTCTCTGTGCCTGGTGGCCCGACTGAGCATGGCAAGCCGCGCGCAGCGTCGAGCAAGGCGACCAAGGACGAGGTCGACACGGTCATCGAGCAGGTCAAGCAGCTGGCGGGCGAGCACGGCATGGACGACGAGAGCCTGTGCAAGGGCTACGAGCTCGCACTCGGTGGACTGCTCGGTGCGTCCCCTCTCCTCTCGTCCCCTCCTCCCCCACCTCATCCAACCGCCCGAGCTGACGAGGGTTTCCTCGCCTCGGCACTGCGCCGTGCACCTGCAGACACCGACCAGAGCCTCCGTATACTTCCTCAGCTCATCCCGCACACCGCCCTGCCCCTCGACCCGGTCCTCCTCACCACATCCGTCCTCGGCCAGTCGACCGCCTCGCTTCCTCCACGAGCCGGCCAAGTCGCATACGCGGTTCAACGTCGTGCACTCGAGCAGCTCGCTGTGCTTCTTGAGCTCGGCGCAGTCGGGCGAGAAGGACTCGAGGCGCTCGACCGGCTGTATGGCGCCGTCGAGCAGGGCCTTCGCTACCGCATCCTCCGGTGCGCCCACGTCTGCGCTCTCTTTTCCCGTCTGAGATGGCCCTCGCTGATCGATTTGTCCACACAGTGAGCCGACGGCGGGCCTCCTGTGCCTCATCACGCGCAAGCACCACGTCCAGCCACACCGGGTCGCCCGAGTGTGCGTCGACCTCTCTCTTCCCGTCACCCACCTACTCGATCTGCCTCTAACCGGGCACACGCTCCAAGCGCAGACGATCCCTCCTCCTGGACGACCCGCCACCTTCCACCTCACTCGCCCGCCTGCTCGACCTGTACCGCTCGTCCGAGGTCGGCCACGTTCGCCAGACCCGCAAGCATGCCGCCGCCGCTCCAGATGGGTTGCCAAGCAGCCTCGAGGCGTGGAAGATGCGCGTGTCCGAGGTGCTGGATGGCAGCGGTGTCGACGGCGAGCTCGAGGAGGGTCATCGGGTCCGTCCGCCGAACCGTTCTGCCCTTTGAGGAGCGCGCACTGACCTCGCGAGCCTTCCAGGTCAAGCGCCGCAAGCACTCGCACCAGGTTCCTCTCCCCGACTCGGCCATTTTGACGGTCCGTCAGCGCCATAGTCGGCCTTTGTCCTCAAGCAGCCGGCCTGACGCCCTCTGTGCGCCACAGTCGTCTACCGCTTCTCCGCACCTCGCCGACCTTTCCTCCCTCGCCAAACTCGCCGAGCACCTCGACAAGGTCGTCTTGCCCACCCACGCCGCGAGTGTCCTCTCGGCCGGCGCTGGCCCGACACGCAGGAGCCGGCCGCCGACCGAGGCGGACTGGGTCCGTTCATGGGCCTTCCTTCCGCGCAGCGGCTACGATCACGATTGTGCGTCTCTCTCCCTCCCTTCTCTCGGCGACTGTGCGTGCGGCCCGTGCCTGACACAATCCCCCGTCGCAGCCGAGCACCTCTCGCAACTGTCGCACTGGATCATCTCGCGACTCGAGCACGAGCTGTACGACCTCGAGCCGACCAAGGCGGGCCATGCGCGTGTCGAGGACCTTCTCTCCCGTGTGCGGGACATCTGCGAGCTCGGCGGAGTGTGTCTCGCCGTCTCGCTCTCTGGTTCCGGCGCCGGCACTGACTCGAGCCCGTCGCCGCCTGCAGGAAGTCGTCGAGGCGCTCGAGCCTTTCCTCAATACTTTCCTCGCCAACTGGGACGGCGAGCGGCATCGAGACGTCATCTTCCAGCTCGTCGCGCTCCTCAAGCCTCGAGCGTGGGCAGGTTCGTCCTTGTCTCGATCCTCTTTCGACTCAAGGGAAGCTACTCACGCGCTTCTCCCGCCTGCAGATCTTGAGCAGTCCGTCCTCGGCAAGCTGCGCAAACTCGCTGGGACCGCCTCGGTCGACTGGGTCGCCGCCTTGGTCGACTGCCTGAGCGCCCTCGTCCGCAACCTCGCCGTCCGCGACAACTGGCATCTTCAAGCTACCGTGTGCGTCCTCTTCCTCTCTCTCGCCACGTCCTGCAGTCAAACCTGACGATCCTCGACGCAGCACGACGGCGTTCGGCCGTCTCGACGCCGACGGCCAGTACCTCGCGAGCTTGGAGAGCTTTCTCGAGTTCACCGACGAGGTCATCCTCTCTGCCACAGCGGTGCGTTCCGCTTCTCTTCTCTCCTGCCCTTTCCGTCAGAGAACTCACTCGCATGCTCCTGCAGCGCCACCCTACCTCGCTCGTCCTCCGCTCCGCCGCCCTCGGCTTCTACGAGTCGACGCTCCTCCTCCCTCTCGAACTCGACCTGCCCGTCATCGTCCTTCCCTCGCCCATCTTCACCTACCTGTGCCTCCTCTCGAACGAGCTCATGAGCGTCTCGAGGATCTGCGGCATTATCGCGAGGTGCGCCCGGCCATCCTCCTTCGCCTTCTTGCCCTCGGCGACGCCCTGACTCTCTTCCCGCTACAGGCTGCGCGACGCCCTCGTCGGCGCCGAGAGCGCCATCGTCAAGCGTTGGCAAGACGACCCACGCGGCCCGCAGTCGAGCGCCATCGAGTCGCTCAACGCTCGGCTCGTCACGCTCGTCGGTGCTCTTTGGATGCGCCGCTTCCTCGCCACCGACGCATCTATGGGCCTCTCTTCGTGCGTCCTGTTGCCCGCTCTCGTCGTCTTTACGAGGCCGTCAACTGACTCGAACACGCGCAGGGACGTCCTCGACAAATTGCGCTCGAGGAGCGAGGAGCGAGGGCAGCAGGTCGCGTCCAGCATGGGCCTCACGGCGCACAGCGCGCTCGCTCTTCTCGCCCAGGACTGCCTCTCGGTGCGCTCGACTTCCTCTCCTTCCATTCGTACAGGCTCGAGCGCACTAACTCTACGCTCGTGCGCAGGTTCTCGCTACCCAGGACGGCAAGTCGGCCGAGAGCCTCGTCGGGCCGGTCACGACTACTGCACTCAAGCAGCTCGCCAAGGTGCGTCCTCCTCCTCCTCTCTCTCTTTCTTTCTGTCGCCCGGCGCCGTCATGACTGACACCTCTCGCCGTGCAGGACCCCGCCGCCTTCCACATCTCGTTCAACGAGTTCCGCCCGCGCTTCGTCGAGTACCTCGAGGAGCGAGGCGCGAAAGGTCTCGCGAGCTGTCTCTTCTCGAGCTTGTCGAGCTTGGTCGAGCGGCGCAAGTCGAGTATCGGCGGGACGTGAGTGAGGGCAGCCGGGTCGAGTCGCGGCGGTAGCTGGAGGACGAAGCGGCAGGGTCTGAGCGCAATGCAATGGGACGACAAGCTTGCACGAGATCTCGAGACGCTGTTGGAGAGAAGGCGAGCGAGAGGTGAGAGAAGAAGGAGAATGTCCATGATACAGGAGCCGCTCAGGCCCGCCGCTCTACGCATTGCCCATCGCCGCACCCTCAGCCACCGTTCCCTCGCTCGCGATCCACGCCTTGGTCGCCGATACAGTCTCTTCCTTGTCGGCGTCGTACAGGTAGAACTGTGGGAGAGGCCGCGAGTGAGCGGTCCGTGCGCGAAAAGAGCGAATGGGAGGGCGAGAACAGGGACGATGAGAGGGGCAAGGTGACGCACCACTTGCTCCTTGTCGTACTGCGGAACAGGAAGAGAAGTGCAAGATGTCAGTCAATGACAAGGCTTCGAGAGGGAGGAGAGAGAGGAAGGCGAGAGAGGCGGGAAAGAGAGGGACGCACGTTGAACCAGGTGATGCCGACGTAGTGTGGCATGGCCTTTGCCGTCGCCTCGCTCGTCAACTCGTCGAGCCACGCGAGGCGCTCCTCGACGCTCGCGACCCACATCGTGCCCGTCTCGCCCATGGCAAACTTGATCTTGCCGTCGGCGCACCACTTGTCGTACATGTCTTGGACGTGGTTGAGGAAGCCCTCGGACGATGACGAGGAAGGGGACGATCGAGGATAGTAATCAAGCTGGCGAGAGGAGAGAGAGAGTCAGTGTCGCGCTCGGCAAAGGCGACGGCGAGAGGCAAGGAGAAGGAGAAAGGGAAGGCGGTCCGTGCACGGACCGAGACTCACGCCGAGGTAGTGCACCGTCGACAGGTCGTCGGGGAAGTACTTCTCGTAGTCGGACACGCCGCCACCGGCGACGTTGGGCGTGAAGAACATGCGCACGAGCGGGTTGTCGGCGACGGCGGCGGCGACGACGGGCCACGCCTCCTTGAAGTCCTCGACCGTGCCCTGGTAGGTGCCATCGGACAGGTACCAGCTGTAGAAGAGGCAGCGAGAGTCAGTGAGGAGAAGGGAGGAGGCGGGAGAAGGAGGATCGTCGCGAGAGGGGGAAGAGGAAGAGGCGGGCAGACGCACTTGATCTCGTGCGCGAAGCGGAGCCAGACCTCGATGCCCTCGTCGGTGAACTTCTTCATGACCTTTGCGATAGCGAGCGCCTGCGAGTTGTCGTCCTTGGTCAAGCCGCTCCAGCCCTTGGTCGGCATGACGGCCGGCTGGAAGATGCACCTGCACGCCTTGACGTCGTCGAGCTGCGGACGGGAGAGGGTAGCATGAGTACAAGTGCGGCGACAGACGACGAGCGACGGCGAGGCGGTAGGCCGGGAGAGATTGCGGAAGAGACAGACGGACCTGGCTCAGGAGCTGGCTGCCGTGCCACTCGCCCGACGCCGGCAGCTGCGCGTACCAGCCATAGTACGACGACTTGATGCCAAGCCCGGCGTTGATCTTGGCCATGTCCTGGTTTTTATAGCTGTGCGCCAAGGCAAAGGGAGCGTAAGTCGAGGGTCCGTGCGAGCGAGTCGAAGAGGCCGACGCACTCGGGGAGGAAGCCGATGCCGATGTTGCTGTTGCGAGAGTCAGACTGAGTCAGTAAGGCAGTCTGAGGAGATCGAAAGACGCTCGGCGGGCGAGGAAAGGACAGAACAGGAGGTGGACGCACTTTCGTGCGAGTCCCGGCTGCTTGGTCGCGATCACGCCCGACGAGCTGCTCCCGGTCTCGCTCGACGAGTCGTCGCCGCTCGAAGACCCTCCACTACTGCCCCCTCCCGTCGCCTGCGCCGCCTCGGTCGACACGGTCGTCGTCACGACGCCGCCCGACAGCGTCTGCGTCACCGTGACCACCTTGGCGCTCGTCGTCCCGCCGCTCCCACTGCCCGTCCCGGGCGACTCGGTGCCGGCGTAGAAGTACTTGTAGAGGGCGAACGCACCGAGGAGTACGAGGAGGATGGCGACGGCGATGCCGCCAAAGAGGACGAGGCTGCTCTTGGTCTGCTGCCGGTCGGGCGAGAGAGGCTCGTCGGCGGCAGCGCGAGGCGGGCGTCGTGGCGGGGCTGTCGAGTCGTCCGACGAGTAGTCGGTCGAGTCGTCGCTGTCGTCGTACCGCGGCGGAAAGTCGTCCCACCGCTTGCCGAGCGAGCGAACCTTCTCCTCTCGTCGCCGTCGTGGCGGTGCACTTCTTTTGCGCGGCCGGCGCGAAGAGCGTGCGTCGTCGCTGCTGGTGGGCGCACTTGACAACGACTCGTCTGACGAGGAAGACGAGTAGCGGCGGCGAGAGCGCGGCATCGCTGAGCGCTTCGAGGAGGCGAGGAAGCGAGACGCGAGCCGAGACGCGAGCGCCGAGCGTTCGCGGCCGGGCCGGAGAGTCCTCGGACCACGGACAGGAGGGCGAGGCGCGTGCGTGTGGCGCACCTCGGCGACGAACCGGAGCAGAAGAGGGGAAGCGGGAGCAGCGCTCGCGGCATCGCCTGGACGAGGACGCAGCGCGAGGAGCAGGCGTGTAGTACAAGCTAGAGACTTGGTCGTGCAGCAGAGCAGCCCCGGCGCGTGGCGGCGAGAGAGTCAGAGCGAGATGACGACGAGGACGACAACGAGCTCGCCCTCCCTTTCCGCCGTGCTGCTGAGCGTGGACAAGAGCGCACACAGTCTCTGCTAGCCACCAGCACAGACCGCAACCCGCTTGTCGCCGTCCCGACTCGCCCCGTCTCCGCCTCCTCAGATCGCTCCTCGGTACCTCCAACTCGACGAGCCTCGCCAAGATGGTGCGTCCGACTCTCGCAGGGCACTCTATGGGCACCTGTACTGAGCCTCTTGCACCGCAGCAGCCCAACCCGTCCGCCTCGACCTCGTCGTCCGCCCTCCCTCCTCCTCGCGCCTCGATCAACGTCCTCCCCCTCGAGCTCAAGCAGTACATCGCCCAGCTCTGCGCCGACGATGACGACGACTCGTGCAAGCGCAACATGACGCTGCGCGCGCAGCTGCGCAACTGCGACAACCACGAGCACGAGTACGACGAGCTCGACGAGCCGATCGACGACGACGACTGGCACAAGATGGACGACGCCGTCGAGAACTTCATCGGTGGGGCGAGCTGTCGACGCGTTATCCCGCAGCTCTTCCAGGTGTCGCGCGAGTGGGCCGACATCGTAGCGCCTCACCGGTTCAAGGTGCGCCCCGTCGACTTTCCCGTCCTTTCCTGTGTGGACCCGCGCTGACGGCCTCTCTCTCGAACAGACGGTCGAGTACCGCCAGCTCCCCGTCGCGCCTCTGGTATATCGTGTGCCCGGAAGGCTCGCGCCCCCTTCATCCGTCCAGCTCGCCCACTTCCGCAACCACGACCTGCGCCGAGTCGACCCGCTGGTCGTCGACTACGCCATCTCGATTATTCGGCCCGTTGCGCGTCGGCTTGTCCTCGACGCCGGCGCCGTCGATCGCCTCGTCGAGGTCATCGAGGACGAGGCGGTCCGCAACAAGCTCGCCGTCATCGAGGAGGTCGAGGTCGACTACCCGCCCGCGTCTACTTCTACGCTCCTCGGCGCGCTCCCTCGCCTTCAGTCGATCAGCCTGTTCGTCAAGCGTCAGGAGCTCACGGAGGGTCTCGTGCGCGACATCATCAAGGCGGCGCCCTCGGTGCGGCAGTTGTCGATCCGGGAGCCGCGGGGCTTCAGCGTCGAGGCGCAGCCCGCCGCGTCGTCGTTGCGGTGGGAGCCTCTTCGCGCTCTCGAGTCGTTCCTGTACGATGGCCAAGATCTGGGTCCCGTCGTCCTCGGTCTCGTCGCCGCATGCGCACCCACCCTGCGCTCCCTCGACTTGCGCCTCAGCTCGTCGACGGCGCAGCCGGCGCTCGCCACACGCCTCGCCTTTCCTCGTCTGGCCCATCTCGCCCTGAGCGGGCAGTGCTCAGGTCTTGCGCCCCTCCTCGAGTCGTTGAGCGAGAACGCCATCCCCAACCTCGTCGAGCTCAAGCTCGGCAACCGGTGGGAGCTGTTCCAGGACCCGACGGCCGAGAGGGAATACGGTGAACCGCTCGATGAAGAGATCAGCTCCCCCCTCCTTCACCTCGACGCCCTTCTCCTGCCCTCGGGCCGCCCTCACCGCACCCTCGCCACCATCTTCCTCTCGGACCCCGAACGCTTCTTCCGCGCCGACGAGCTCGACTACCTCGAGGGCGTCATCGCCGAGCACTACTCGACCTACGAGTGGATCCTCGCCCCGATGCGGCGCTTCCCCTCGCGCGCCGTCTTCCCCGACGCCGTGGAGCACGCCGGGACGTCGGCGACGAGCGCCGAGCGCGTGCGGCGCGACTTGCGCAGGACGCTCGACCACGTCGACGCGCTGTATGAGCGCGCGAGCCTGAGCGCGCGCATGTCGAGCGACGACAAGCGCCGGGTCGCGAGGTTGGCCGAGGCGTTGAGCGAGTTCGAGTTTGACCGGGTCGAGAGGGGCCTGTAGTGCGGGTGCAACTCTCTCGTTTCGTCGGTGCTCCTGTGGGAGCCCTTGTGAGCGCCAGAGCGACGCTCCTCGAGAGCTCGCTGCTCGGCTTCTTCGCTTCCTCGCTTCCTTCGCTCGCCGCTCTCGCGCCCTCGCCGCTATTGCTCGCCTGCCCTGCTGAAGCTTGAGCTTCTCTGCAACCTTGACACTACCTGGCCTCGCCGGTCGGGCTCCTCGAGCGCTCCTTTCCGGCGTCAAGCGGGAGGGTCTGTGCGCCCGAGTCGAGGAAACGCTTGCCTCCCTTTCAGTTCCAGCTCTCGTCCCGCCTGTGCTCTCCTCGACCGCCTCGCACGTCTCAAACATTCCTCGCGAGCCTGCGAGAGCGCCCCTGCTCTACTCTTGCACCACCAGAAGATCAAGGTCGAAGTCGACCTTCTCAAGTCGAGTCTCTCGCTCTCTCTTTCGCTCTCGCTCTCTCTCGCTCCCTCTCGCTCTCTCGACACGCTCAGGAGAGTAGAAAGGGGGGGCACTGCTCTTGTAGATTGTCAAGGCTAGTCGCACAGGCTGCTCAGAGGGTGGGTGACACGAGGAGATGAGGGAAGGAGGAGACGAGGAGAGGGGGGCACAGCAAGGGTGTGGGTCACAGCGTAGCGAGGGCGAGGATGACAGGGAGGCGAGAGAGAGGGAGAGGGAGAGGGGGTGCACTACTGGTGGAAGCGCATGACGTCCTCGACGTCGTCCTTGGACCCGAGGAAGACGGGGCACCGCTGGTGGATGTCGGTCGGCTTGATGTCGAGGATGCGCTCGGTGCCCGTCGTCGCGAGGCCGCCGGCCTGCTCGACGAGGAACGCCATCGGCTGTGGGGGCGGGTACGGGGTCAGTGCGGGTCGCGGCGCGGCGAGGAGAAGAGAGGAGAGGGAGAGGGAGGCGGGACGCACGTAGCCCTCGTACAGGAGGCGGAGCTTGCCGTTCTTGGACTTCTTGTCCGAGGGGTAGCCAAAGATGCCGCCGTAGAGAAGCGTGCGGTGGACGTCGGCGACCATCGAGCCTGGAAGAGGGTGCAACCGAGGGTCAGCATCGCGCTATTCAACCCGAACGCCGAGACCCACCTGCGGGTGGGCCGAGGGCGACACGAGAGAGAGAGCGAGCGAGGCGACGCACCGATGTAGCGCGCCGAGTAGGGCTTGCCGTTCGAGGGGAACTTGATCGACTCGAGGTACTGCGTGACGGGCTCGTGGAAGAAGAGCGAGTTGCCCTCGTTGAACGAGTAGATCTTGCCGCGCGACGGGATCCGGATGTTGGGGTGCGTGAGGATGAACTCGCCGATGCCCTGGGTGCGCACGACGAGGGTCAGGGTCGAGTGCGAGGACGAGAGAGGGTGTGAGAGGGGGGGACGGACGTTGTCGAGGGTGTAGCCGTTGACGCCCTGGCCGGTCGAGATGACGAGGTTGGCCGACGAGCCGTACATGCAGTAGCCGGCGACCTGGAGCTCAGAGCCGGGGCGCAGGACGTCCTCGAGCGTGCCCTCCGAGTCGTCGCGCTGTGAGAAGGACGACGAGGGTCAGGAGCCCGCTTCTCTCGACAACGACGACGACCAAGGGAAAGAGGTGGGACGCACGCATTTGTAGACGCCAAAGATGGTGCCAATGTTGACGCCGGCGTCAATGTTGGACGAGCCGTCGAGCGGGTCAAAGACGACGCAGTACCGGCCGCGGTGGGCCGTGTCGATAAAGATGGGCTCCTCGTTCTCCTCCGAGACGAGGACGGCGCACTTGCCCGACGCGCGCAGGCTGTTGATCATGATGTCGTTCGACAGGATGTCGAGCTTCTTCTGGTCCTCGCCCTGGATGTTGCTCGAGCCGGCCTGGCCGATCCTGCGGGAGCGGGCGCGACTCGGGTCAGAGACGAAGCGCGGGTGGCGAAAGCGACGAGGCGAGAGAGAGAGAGAGCAAGGACGCACAGGTTGAGGAGGCCGGCGCGGCGGACATTAGTCGAGATGAACTTGCAGGTCGTCTGGATGGCGGTGAGGAGGAGGGTCAAGTCGCCGGTCGCGATCGGGTGACGCTGCTGCTGCGAGAGGACGTGCTGTGGGTCGGGACAAGGGTACGGTCAGTCGACTGTGCTGCTGCTCGCGGCGGCAGAGTGCTCCTCGAGGGTGGTCGGGGCGCCGCAAGGTGGGGCCGCGGCGACGACGGACGGGGTCGCGTGAGCTGCTGTACGCCCGCCCGCTCCACAGCGCTGCGGCTCGTCCTGCTCCTGCTCGACTCATTGCCAGGCTTGTACACCTCGAGCGCAGCCCACGCCGTGCGCCCGCTGCGACCCACCCGCGGGAGCCGGATCGATGCCGCCGGCCAGCTCGCCGTCGTCTCTGAGGAGCTCGAGTGCGGCCGCTTTGCGCTGCAGCGTGCCCGGTGCAGCGGGAGCCAAGACGCCGTCGCCGAGCGGGACCCTCGCGAGCGGTGGCCGACACCCGGAAGAGGCCGGAGAGACGAGGGGGACGAGGAGGAAGGCGAGAGAGAGAGACAGCGAGACGAGGACGGACCGACGTGAGGGTGATGATCTCGGTCTTGGGCGGGGCCTGGTCGAAGCCGGTGTTGGACATGGTGGGTGGTGCGGGTGGTGCGGGTGCGGTTGCGGTTGCGGGAGGAGGAGGAGCGACGGCGGGGGACGAAGGGCGAGAGAGGGTGGTCTTCTGGCGCTTCAAGGGGGGAGGCTGGTGGTGCTGAGGCGAGGCTACGTCTGCCAGTGTGGCTGAGTTGAGCAAGAGAGGGATGGTGGTCGAAGGAGAGGAGGCGAGGAGCAAGCCGGTCGGCGCGGGCGCACCCGGCTGGCCAGCTTCAAGCGTACGCTCTCTGACGGCCGAAACGAGGGACCCCGCCCTCGTAGTCGCTCCCGCCCACGCTCGCCCACCCTATCTCCAACGTCAACACCAGCTCTCGACACCTCGCTCACGCTCGAGGGTCGGTCCCCAGCTCTTCTCTGCTCTCCCACGCCTCCACGCACGCCCACCGCTGGGGCTGCGACCACCGAGCCCGGTGTCGACGTCGACGTCGTCCGTCGTGCCGCGGCTCGGGCGAGGAGGCCCGGGCGCGGCCGCCTTCTCACCGCTCTCTCTCTCCCGTCCTCGTCGTCAAGCCGTACACGCGCTCGACACGTCCTGTCGAGCTGCGGGACCGTGCACTCTCTTGCCACTGCTCGAAGCGCTTCGTGCTCGCCCGACGAGGACCGGAAAGGAGACGAACAGCGCTACAGAGTTGGTGGTCCATGAGGGAGAGGGAGCGACAAGTGGCTATGATGTGGGTGTGTGTGGATGGCGCTATGGCTACAAGTTGAGCAAAGAGAGAGACCGTGTCCGGGTTCTGCTCTACCCTCCCGTCCTCCTCCGCTCCTCCCTCGCCTCCTCCTCCTCCTCCGCTCCCACCGCCCGCCGAGCGAGCGCCCAGCGCCCAGCTCATCCCGCTCAGTCACGCGACAGGAGGCTCCACCCCTTGCCCTTCTTCTCCTTGGTCCCGGCCTTGCCCTTGCCCTTGTCGAGCGGGCTCGACGACGACGACGTCGAGGCCGACGACGACGACGGGCCGACGTAGCTCATGACCGGGATGGCTGCGAGGGGTGCGACGAGCTTGGTCAGTACCCGAGCGCAAGAGAGCGAAAGACAGAGAGAGGGAGAAAGAAGGACGCACAGGTGTCGCGCCCCATCTCAAAGCTCCTCTGCCCGCGCCCGCTCGCCGGCGTCGCCCTCCCACTCGCCGACCGGCTCGAGCCCTGCGACGACGCGGCGGCGAGGTTGTGCTGGGCGCGCTCGGCCGCGTTGCGGCGGCGGCGGCGCGCGTTGAGCTTGCACGCGCAGTAGATGAGCGCAAAGAGGAGGACCGACGCGACGAGGACGAGGACGGCGAGGCCGACTTTCTGCTCGAGGGGAGGGCGCGCGCAGAGAGGTGTCAGTGAGGCTCGAGCGAGATAGAGAGAGAGAGAGAGAGAGGCGCACCGAAAGGACCGACAGCTCGCTGATCTTGTGCTTGGTGTCGCGGTACTCGGCCGTGATGGCGTCGTCCCACGTCGTCGGGTTGTACCACACGGCGTCGGTGCTGTTGGCCGACGTGGCGGCAGCGGCGGCGGCAGACGAGGTCGACGACGCGACGCTCGAGGCGGCGGATGCGGCCGACGAGACCTTGGACGCGATCGCCGACGTGGCAGAGGCTGCAGGCCACGAGCGTCAGGTCAGTGAGACGCTCACGTGGGCGAGTGCAGGAAGAGAGGAAGGGACGGACCGCCGTCGGACGTGGCACCGTCGGCGTTGACCTCGCTCGCGATGTTGTCGAAAAAGTCGCCGACGTCGCGCTTGGCCTTCTTGCCGTCGTCCTTATTGTCCTCGTCCTCGTCGACGTGCTTCTCGTCCTTGCCGTCCTTCTCGCGCCAGTGCTTCTGGTCGTCGCTGTCCTCGACGTACCAGTAGTGGCGCCCGTCGTCGCTCTGCGCCTTGCCCTTGTCGACGACGCCCGTGCCCTTGGTCGCCGCGGCCGAGGCCGTCGCCGACGGGCCAAACCCAAAGTGGCCCTCGACCTTCTCCCAGAAGTTGCGCTTGAGGCGGCGGTGACGCTGCGGGATCGTCGACGGGTCCATCGTCTGCGCGGCGCGAGAGAGAGAGAGGGAGCGACAGGGTCAGGTGCCGCTCGACGACAGCGAGAGGGGGAGGGAGAGGAGGAGGAGGGTGGGACGCACGGCGCCGTTGTACTTGCTGCCGTTGAACGAGACGGTGTGGTTGAAGTGGCCCGGCGGGAGGATGACGACGCCGCCGAGGCGCTCCTTGACGCGCTCGGCCTCGTCGTCGAGCTTCTTTTCGGCCGCGCGGCGGCGCACCATGCGCGACTCGAGGCCGGCCGGGATGGGCAGCGTCGTGTGCGCCGCCGAGGCGGCCGAGAGGAGGTCCTGCAGCTCGGGAGGCGGCGTCGCGAGCGCGGCCGAGGGGAACAGGAGGATGGCGAGGGGGAGGAGCGAGGTCGGCTTCATCTTGTTGTGTAGGTGAACGAGTGTGGTGGTGGTTGGCGCTGGCGGTGGGCGAGTCGAGGAGGCGGGCTGGACGCGAGCGGAAGAGAGCGACGAGGTGCGGCGAGAGGACCCTGCCAGAGGGGCTGCCTGGGAGTTGCTGAGCGGGCGAGCGACGGTGTAGAGAGAGAGACGAGCGGGACAGAGAGAGAGCAGCGCGCGAGCCCGAGGCGCATATTGAATCGAGCGTCGGGTTCGAGGGCGAGACGAGCCGGAACGGGGCGGGCGGGTCGTCGAGCGACAATGTCGCGGGACCTGCTCTGAGCGGGAATGGAGAGAGTGTGGTCTAGCCGCTCGAGTGGCTCTGGGCGCAATCCGGACAGAGAAGGCGGTCCGAGTCGCCGGATTAGGGAGGGGGAGGGAAGGTGGTCGCTGAGCGACGCCGCGTTCGAGCGGCAGCAGCGAGTGCGCCGACTTGGAGGCTCGAAGGCCGAGGGCGAGATGCATGGCAGCAAGGTGTGCACCTTGAGCCCTGCAGCGTGCGAGGAGCCGTCGCGGTGCGGAGGTGGAGCTCGGCGCGGGAGGCTGGTCGACGCCGCATCCGAACCGAGTCGGCGAGCGCCTGGGGCGACGAGCGCGATCGCGGGTGCTGATGCGCAGGTCTCAGCCGTCGTGCTGGGCGGTGCAGCACTGCTCGGAGCGCGAGCGGGCAGCGGTGGTCAGAGTCGAAGAGCGCTCGCCGGAGGAGCTCAGAGTCGCTCGCGGCAAACCTCGCCAGAGGGCGTAGGGTCTCTCGCAGCTCATGTATGAAGCTACTCGCAAGCCACCCAAGCTCCTTCAGAGTACGTTCGACGAGGCGAGTCGCGGGAGAGCTGTCGCACCTCTGCGGCAGCGGCTCGTCTCCTCCAACAACCTCGAGCCCGCGCTCCTGCCCGGCTCAAGCGCACGGCCAAGAGCACACACGGCCATCGAGCACCGCGCACGCGCCGCCCGCGACCCGCCCTTTGTCCTCGCACCCCGTCCCTCGTCGTCCCGCTCCCCCTCGTCTCCTCCGACTCGTCACCCACCGCCCTCGCCCCCGCCGAGTGATGCCCAAGACGCGCTCCTCTGCTCGCATCAACGGCCGACCACCCGCACCCGGCCCGTCCGCCTCGACGAGCGCCGCAGGGTCAGCCGCGAGCGGGTCAGGTGCCTCGTCAGCCCGCCCAGCTCCGCCAGCTCCCCTCAACTACGCGTCGCGCTCCCAGGCCTCGCACGCCGCGCGCAGGTCATCGGCCGTCGTCGCAGCAGCTGGAGGAGGAGCACCCGCAGCCGCGTCGGGCGCCCGCCGCAAGGGCAAGGCGCGCGCGCCCGACCCAAGTGGGGGCGGAGCAGGAGCAGCCGAGAGGGACGACCGCGCCTCGGCCAGCACGCCCGCCAAGCGCATCAAGCGCTCCGACTCGTCGACGCCCTCACCCGCCCCGAGCTCGTCCGACGGCGGCGCGGGCGACGGCAGCGGCACGCCGCTCCCCGTCAAGGCCGACCACGACCACGACGGCGGCTCGCTGTCGCCCAACGCGCCTCCTCCCGCACCCACACCTCCACCCGTCCTCCCGACCGACCACTTTGCCCTCCTGTCGAGTGAGCTCATCTCGCTCGTCCTCGTGCACCTCGTCGCCGTCCCCGCGTCGGCCGCACCCGACACCAAGCCCGACCTGCACTCGCTCGCCATGGTCGCCCTCACGTGCAAGCGCCTCCTGCCCCACGCTCGTGTCGCCCTGTACCGCGACCTGCGCGTCGAGACGAGGGTCCAGGCGCACGCCGTGCACCGCACCCTGCACGGGAGCGACATCAGCAAGAGCGTCCGCAGCGTGACGGCCAACGTCGAGTCGATGGCGAAGACGAGCAGCCAGTGGATCGGTGCGTCGCATTGTTCCGCTCCCTCGGCGTCGGCCTCTCGTCGTCGAAGCCGGTACTGATTCTGCCGTTTCTCGTGTCGCACAGGCTGGTTTCTCTTCCACTCGATGCACTCGTTGTGCGGCATCATCGGGTCCTGCCGACACCTCCTCACCCTCACCCTGTACCAGCCGGCCGACTCGTCGGCCTGGACCAACTCGCTCTGCCAATCGTTCGTCGACGTGAGTCCCTCGTTCCCTCCCCCCTCGGCTCTCCTCCTTCCTCCTCTCAGGGTGAGGCTGACATGGAATTGTCGCCGTCACGCAGCTCAAGAACCTGCACACGCTCATCAAGGACCTCGAGGCGTCGTCGGACGGCAAGGGCGGCGGCGCGGGCAAGAACGAGGGCATGGACGTCGGGTGGCGCGCGAGGAAGAGCACGAGCATGTGGGCCGTCAGCCAGGTGCGTCTCGGCGCTCTCTTGCGCTCCCTCTCGCCTCGTCCCACGGGCAGCTTGGCCGCTTCGCGTAGATGTCCTGACGCACGCCCCTCTCTCGCCGTCTGCAGTTCGTCAAGCCGCTGTCGACCCTCAAGAGCCTCCATACGCTGCGCCTGTGCGGCATCTCGAGCGACTCGTCGACCCTTCCTGCACCGCCGCTGCACTCGCTCCGCCTCACCGAGGTCGTCCTCATCGAGGTCAAGTGCGTCGCCGCTCGTCCTCTCTGTGGGGCCTGCGTGACCTCGCGCCGGTCCTGCTTGTTCCTCTGGTTGAAGTGGCGGAGCACTGACACACCCTCGCACCCCCTCGCGCAGCATCACCAACACGGACCTCATGCAGCTCCTCGGCGACGCGCGCCAGGTCAAGCGCTTCACGCTGTGGCGCAGCTCGCTCCTGTCGAAGCGTGGCCTCGCGCACGTTCTCAAGAAGTGCCCGAGCCTCGTCGAGCTGCGCATCGGCGGTAGCTGGTTCGGCGCCAAGGAGGAGGGTGCGTCCGACTCTTTCTCTTTCTCGCCCTCGCCCTCGCGTCGACGCCGGCCCCTGACCCTTCCTCGCCTCCCTCTCGCATCCACAGACGACAAGAACTTTCCCCTGAACGACTCGCTCCCGTACCTGCCGCACCTCAAGGTCCTGCACGTCTCGGGCTCGCTCATCTCGCCCGCCGCACTCGAGATCCCGTCGGTCCAGCTGTCCCACCTGTACGTCCACGGCGCGCCCTCGTGGACCCCTCAAGCCGTCCACGCCGCCCTGAGCAAGATGGCGCACGACCCGCCTGCGGCGGCGCGCCTCACGCTGCCCGAGATGCGCGACCCGGAGGAGATTGCCCGCGAGGAGGAGGAGCGCGCCGCGGCGGCGGCCGCGGCCGTGCAGGGGCTCGCGTCGCGGCGCGCACGGCGGCAGGCGGCGGCGGTCGCGCAGCAGGCGGCGCAGGCGGCGGCGCAGGCGGTCGCCGGCATCGGCGTCGCCAACGCGGCCGGGTGGAACGAGACCTGGCGGTTCACGGTGCGCAAGACGGGCGAGGCCAAAGGGTGCGTCGTCGACGACCGCATGTTCCCTGGCGACCGAGGCGTCGGCATCGACGACTCGGACAGCGATGCGTGACCGCGCGCGCGCTCGAGGTGGTTGCCGAGGGTCGGTGGGCGCTCGAGGGTCGGTGGGCGCTCGAGGGAGGTGTCTTTGTTCTCTTTCTCTTCTCTTTCTCTTTTGCTCTGTCTCGTCTAGCGTGTCGTACCTACATCCAGTCTGTGTCCTCAGTCGCACCGCAATGCACTCTCTGATACGCTCGAACGCTGCCGAGAGCCCGCCAGTCGAGATCTGAATGTCCCGTGCCGAGAGAGAGAGATTCGCTTGAGAGGTCGTTCAGGGCCAGGGCGGTGGCCTCGAGGAGAAGCGGGTTCCCGAGCAAAAGATAGCGCTGCAGATGCTGCGGCCTCCGCTTCGCAGCAGGGCAACCTCGAGGCGACAGCGTCCGCTCCCCACACAACTTGAGAAGGCCGACCCTCTCGCCTCGCGCCCTTTTTGACTTCTGACGGCTCCCTCCCCTCGCCCTCGCGCCCTCGCTATTTCTGGCCACCGCTGCCACCGCTGCCGATGATGCAGGGGTGCGTCAAAATAAGCGCGACGGTCTCTCGAGTCGTGCACGAGCGCTTCCTCGAGGGTTCGTGCACCTCGTGCTTGCCCTCGGCTTCGCACTCAAGGGCCGATCGTTGTCCCCGCCGAGCTGTCGCCTGCGCTTCTGCTTCCACTCTGCTCTTCTCCTGTCGACCCGCACCTACCTGCTGCGCTCGTCGTCGCACACGCAGCCCTCGACACCCGCTCGTCCCCCTCCCTCCTCCAGCTCTTTCCTCCTCCTCGACGAGCCGCCATGCAGACCGCTGCCGCCGTCGGTGTCTCTGCGCCGGCCTACGAGGTCAACGAGTCGGCACGCGACATGCACGACATGTACGCTCCCGCCTGTGAGTCCTCCTGCTCGTTCTCGCACGGCCTTCTCAAACCGAGGTCGTCGTCGCCTGGCTCGATAGCTGACCCCTCGTCTCTTTCCTGCTGCCCCGCAGCCACCTCGTCGCGCATCTCGATTCCCGAGTACATGTTCTGGGCCGAACGGCAGCGAGCTCGCGAGCGCGCCGATACCGGCGACTTTCACTCGGCGGGCCTCGCCTCGCTCGCCGCGGGCATGAAGGGCAAGATCCGCGAGAAGGGCGAGAAGGGCGGCGACAAGAGCTCGAACAGCGACGTGCACGAGGTGACGGTCGGAGGAGCGCAAGGCGACGACGCGACGGCCGACCTCGAGGGCTTGTCGGAGCGCGAGAAAGAGCTGTGCAACGCCCGACGCATGCTGCGCGTCGCCGGCTGGGCCACCATCTTCTTCCTCATCACGACGTGCGTTCTCTCGCTCACCTTCAGCCCAAGGCGCCGAGCAGAGCGCGACGGTGCAGAACCGTCGAGTGGACGCGCACTGACCCCCTCTTTCTCGACGTCCCTCCTCCTCGACCTCCTCCTCGCCCGACCTGCCGCCTTCTACAGCGACATCCTCGGTCCTTTCAATGCGCGTGAGTCGCGCTCGCCGAGCCAACCCGCGCCTTCTCCTTTTCGTCCTTCCCTCGAGCCTCCTCGAGCGTGCAGCTGACGTGCTCCTTCTGCAGCGTACGCCATCGCCAACCTCGGCATGGCGCCAGGCGTGGTCCTGTATGTAATTTTCGGCCTGGTCGCGGGCGTCACCGGCGTCATGCTGCAGGTGCGCCGCCGCCAGAAAGCTTCCGTCCCCTTTCCGGACGATCCTGACGCCTCTCGCGGCTCGCAGCACCTCTTCCTCAAGCTCGACTCGGTCCGGTACCCGGTGCGCACCTATGGCGACCTCGGCGGGCGCGTCTACGGAACCTGGATGCGCCACCTGTGCTCCATCCTCCAGGCGATCCAGTGCGTCGCCGCGCTCGAGCCCTTTTCTTCGTCTCGGCGGCTACTGACTTCTCGCCCTGTAGGCTCATCCTGAACGTCGGCCTCATCTGCCTCAGGTGCGTCCTCGTGCCCCTTGACCCGAGGGGGAAGGAGAAACCTGACCTCGTCCTCTGCCTTCTTCCTGCAGCAACGGCCAGGGCGTCGCTCAAATCGCCGAGGGCGGCAGCGGCCCGGCTATCTGCTTCTCGGTCGCGGTCGTAATTTGGGCGATCCTGGGAATGGCCCTCGGGCAGATCCGCTCGCTGCACGGCCTTGGCCTGCTCGCGAACTCGGCCGTCTGGGTGCGTCTCCCGTCCACTTCCTCTTCTGCGACGTGCGCTTATCCCTAGCCGGCACACAGATCAACCTCCTGATCATCATCTTGAGCATGGGCTTCATCGCGCACTCGCCGCCAAACTATGCGGCCGCCTTTGCGTGAGCCGCCTTTCTTCGGCGAGGCTTCGACCTCTCTCGACCTCGTTTCCCTCACTTATGCACCTCCATTCACAGCTCCTACGGCATCCCTGAGGGCCCTGTCGTCGTCAGTGCCCGAGTCACCCAGCCCGTCTTCAACCAGGTCAACGGGTTCGTCGCTGGCTTTGCCTTTCGTCGACGCTCGAGCCTCGTATTGACTTTACGACTCTTCCTGCTCGCAGACTCATGAACATGGTCTTTGCCTGTACGTGTGGAACCTCTCGTCGTATGATCCTCCTCAGAGCGTGGTGGCACGTGCTGACCTCGTCTTCCCAACAGACGGCGGCGTACGCTTCTCCTTTCGATTCAACTTGCCCGACCACTGCGGGCGACTCACTGACACTCTGCTTTCTGCCGACGCAGTCCATGATCTTCCCAGAGCTCCTCGCCGAGATGCGCCGGTACGTCTGGCCGATTCCTGTCGTCGAGCTCGCACGAGAAACTGACTTTCATCCTCGCGCAGGCCTCACGACTTCATCCGGTCTTTCGCGATGGCCCAGGCGCTCATTATTACGGCATACCTCGTGTACGGATGCTACGTTTACGCGATGCAGGGCCAGGTGAGCTTCCCCTGTCGTCTCGGCGACCTTCCCAAGTTGACTGACCTCGACGTCTTCCCTCGCCTCGCAGTACACGCTCGCGCTTGCGTATCAGGGCGTCTCGCACTACTCGTGGCAGACCGTTGGCAACGTCCTCGCGCTCATTTCGGGCGCAATCGCCGCGGCGCTGTACGGGAACATGTGCGTCTCCTTTTCCTCGAGCGAGAAGGTTCCTTCCTTCTCCGCCCTCGACAGCGGGAACGACCTCTCTGACGACGTTCGACACACAGCGGCCTCAAGGTCATCTACATTAACATCGTCGAGGGCCTGCTCAAGGGCCCGCCGCTCATGACGAAGAGCGGCCGCATCGTCTGGGGCATCCTCGTCGTCTTCTTCTGGGCCGCCGCCTTCTTCATCGGCTCGTGCATCCCTTCCGTCGGCGCGCTCAGGTGCGTCGACCTTCTGCCCTCGCACGCTCGACGACGTCACTGACCTGGACCACTTGTCGCACCCGCAGCGGCGTCGTCGCCTCGGCGTGCATCTTCTCCTTCTCCTACACCCTCCCGCCGCTCTTCGTCCTCGGCCTGTACATGCACATCGACGCCGCGACGGCCGACGAGCCGTTCTCGACCCCGGGCGTCGCGCCGAGGCGCAGGGACACGTGGAAGTCGTTCGTGCGTCGGCTGTTCTCCCTCCCGCTCTCGTCGTCTTTCAGGACCCACTGACGACGTGTGACGCAGTCTCGCTGGCACCGCGCCATCACGTACGGCGGCTGGAAGCGCACGGCCATCAAGTGCGCCTTTTTTCCCTCTCCCTTCCTCCTCCTCCTCGTCGGCAGCGCACTGATTTCCTCTCTCTCTCGCTCTCGCAGGGTCGTCCTCTTCCTCTTCTTCCTCGCGGCCCTGGCTACGCAGGGACTGGGGCTGTGGGGCAGCGGCACGACCCTCGGTCAAGCGTTTGAAAAGGGCGCGGCCACTAGCCTCGGGTGCACGAGCCCCGTCTAGCTCTCTCTCTCTCTCTCCCTCTCTCTCTCTCTCTCTCTCTCTCTCTCTCTCTCTCTCTCTCTCTCTCTCTCTCTCTCTCAGCTCTCCCGGACTCTCGAGGAACAGCGCGCTCTGTGCAGGATGTGCGAGAAACTGAAATATCAATTCGTGTGCTGTACTGTACTGCTGCATGAGCATGAGAGGCTCGTCACGAGACGACGTCGAGTCCGAGCCCGTCGACGCTCAAGGCCGAGTCGATCTGGTCGACCGGGTGGAACTCGTTCATGTTGGCGCGGGCGGCGCCGTCCATGTATGTCGGTACGGAGCGGAAGACATTCTTGGTGCCGCAGCTGCGAGAGGGGAGAGGGGAGAGAGCGGGCGAGGTCAGTCTGGCGAGGAGAGAAGCAGAGAGAGAGAGAGACAGAGAGAGAGAAAGAGGGAGGGAGAGGGAAAGGGGGAGGGAAAGGGGAGAGAGAGAAAAGAGGAGGACGGGCGACGACGCACTTCTCGATGATCTGCCCTGCGAGACGAGGGTCCGAGTGTCAGTGAGCTTCTCGGCTTGTCCACCTACTCGAGAGCTCGGCACGAAAGCCGACTCTCGAGAGCGAGAGCGAGCCGACGACGCACCTGTGACCTGGCTCTTGGGGTCGAGGAAGACGTCGACGGCGTCGGTGACCGTCCTCATCGGCGTCAGGCGGTGCTCGCGCTCGAGCATGTTGATAAAGTCGGGTGGCGCGAGGCCCGTCGCTGTGTGAGCGGGAACTGGTCAGGTCAGGGTCCGTGCGCGTGGGAGGGGCGGGAAGGGCGGACGCACCGACGACGGACGGGCCGAAGCAGCTGCGAGAGGGGGCGAGAGAATACGTCAGGGCGGCGCACAAGTGACTGAGAGAGAACCGCAGAGCTCACTTGACCGTGATGCCCTCGTCGAGGACTTTCGGGCCGACGGCGCGGCACATGCCGAGGACGCCCTGCTTGGCCGCAGCGTACAGCGCATCGTTCGGGAACGGGTAGATAGACCTGCGTGTTGGTGTGCGTCTGGACTGTCTGCCTCTTCGACAGGGCGCGAGGCGAGAGAGAGAGAGAGGGACGCACGCGTTCGAGCCCGTCGCGACAAACTTGCCGCGCCAGCCGTCCTCGTCCTTGTCCTGCGCGCGAAAGTAGGCCAACGCGGCATGGAGCGTGTACAGGACGCCGTCGAGATTGACGCGGATGACGCTCAGCCGCGGCGGGCGGTCGCCGAGGTCGTCGAGCGACGGGTGGTGCGTCGTCGAGAAGTGGCCAGGGTCGGACGAGCGCATCTCGGACATCTGCGCAATGCCGGCGTTGACGAACTGCGTGCGACGGGAGAGTAAGTCTGGGTGCTGAGAGAAGACCTTTGGAGGAGGTGGACGGACGACAAAGTCGATGCGAGAGCCAAACGTCTTGCTCGCGAGCGCGAACAGGGTGCAGACGGACGCCCAATCAGTCACGTTGACGGCGCAGAACTCGACCTTGTCGTCGCCGTACCTGCGAGGGCAGTGCGCGGGGTCAGGATCTCGTTCACACAGCGCGAGGCAAGGCGCGCCCGTCGTCGGCGGCGCGCGAGCGGCTCTTTTTGCGACGCGAGGACGACGTCTCCCGCCACGGGGATGCGCGTGAGACGTGGACGCACTTGGCCTTGAGCTTGTCGACCACTTGGACGCCTGCGACAGCATTGAGGTCGCCGACGACGACCCTGGCGCCTTGGTCGAGGAGGTGCTCGGCGATGCCGAGGCCGATTCCTGCACGTAGCGTCGTCAGGCGGGCGTCTGGTGGGCCGCGAGAGATCGAGGACGCACCACTTGCGGCACCGGTGACGATTGCGACCTTGCCCTTGTACATTGCGAGTCGCGACGGGGCAGGAGAGATGAGCACAGGTGGAGCAAGCGAGAGAGACGAGGACAGCTGGTCGAGTCGCCCAATTGGCTCGAGGTCGTCCGCGTAGCTCGTGCGGTGGAGCTCGCCAGGCAAGCAGGTGCGCAAGGCGGTGTGGAGCGAGAGCGAGGACTCTGTTCGCCTCGTCGGCGAACGCGGGGGAGATTCGGAGGAGCAGTTTCCGGCCGAGCCGGCCTCGAGCCTGGGGGAGCGAGAGCGCCGGCTGGTGCACAGGGAGCAAGTGGCACAGCAGGCGTCGGCTTGCCCACAGCTAGCGTCGGGGGAAGACGAGGCCGCGGAAGCGAGGCCAAACTCCGAGCGAGAAGAGCGAGATCGACTCGTTCGCCTCGCTCTCTTCTCCTTGAGCTCGCTGCTGCACAGGAGAGCGCCATGCCGCCGCCCGACTACCCGCGGCTGCCGACCAGCTACACCCTCGACCGCGCGCGCCTCGACACCATCCACCTCTCGTCGCCTGCACCGCCGCCCTCCCGCGACCGCGACCTCGACCTCGACCGCGCCGTCCGCGCAGCAGCAGCTCTCGCACTTGCAGCGCACGCAGGCGAGGACCGCTTCGCCTTCGCCGTCACCGGTGGCGCCATCGTCCAGGGCGAGCTCGACCTCGCCGCCTCGCTCGATCGGCTCCTCGCCCAGGTCGAGGTGGGGCACGACGACGACAGCGCGCTCGAGGGCGCAGACGCACCCCGGCTCGCCGTCTTCGCCCAGGGCGAGGGCCGAGGACCCGCGGCGCGACCACCGGCGCCGCTCCAGCTCGAACATGCCCTCGTCGACGACGGCAAGCGCCTCGCGTTCGTCCTCACGAGCGACACGAGCGTCGTGCCGCGCCTCGAGGCCCAGTGGTTCCTCGAGCACGTCCACACGGCCGCCCTCGACATCCTCACCGCCGACCACGACCGGCCCCTGTCGTCCGTCGCGCTCGCCCCGCCGCACGAGGCCCAGGCGCTCGAGCGCTACTCGTCGTGCCCGTCGACGATCCACGAGCCAGACGCCTACCCTCCCTCCGTCAACACCCTCGCATCGTTCTTCCTTCACGCGGCACAGCGCCACCCGGACGACCCGGCCCTCCACTTCATCCCCTCGCCCTCTGAGCCGGACCGCGCAGGCGCGCTCCGGCTCTCGTACGCCCAGCTCTCGCACCTCGCCCACTTCCTCGCCGCCCACCTTCTCCTGTCGTCCCCGTACCCGACGTCCACCGGCGCCGCACCCCGCAACGGCGCCCTCGTCCTCCCCATCGTCGTCGACAAGTCGCCCGCCATGGTCGTCTCGCTCCTCGCGGCGTCCCTCGCCGGCTACGGCTACCTCGCCCTCGAGCCGTCGTTCCCCGCCGCCCGCAAGGAGGGCATCTGCGCCGAGCTCGCCGACAAGGGCATGCTCGCGAGCGCTGCGCTCGTCCAGGGCACCGACGGCGAGCGCGCGCGGTGGGAGCGCATGACGCGCGACGGCGACAGCAGCTCGGCGAAGCCGCTCTTCCGTGCCGTCGTCGACCCGGCCGAGCTTCTCGCGCCGCTCCTCGACTTTGCGGCCGCGCACGAGTCGTCATCGGCGGCGGCGGGCGACGAGCTCGCGCGGCGGTTCCCGGTCCCGAGCGTCGAGGGCGTCGGCGGGTGGCCGCTCGTCGAGGAGGACGACCTCGCGTACGTCATCTACACGAGCGGGACGACGGGCAAGCCCAAGGGCATCATGGTCGAGCAGCGCAACGTCGCCGCCTTCTTGAGGTGCGTCCCGCGCTCGTTCCTCCCTTCCTCCCCTCCTCAACTGCTCTCGCCCACCGTCTCACACGCTCGTACGATCGAGACGACGAACTTACGCTCTCGACGCCGTGCAGGAACTACCGCGGCGTGTTTGGGCGAGCACGAGGAGAGCGAGTCCTCCAGTTCCCGTCCTACTCGTTCGACGTCTCGGTCATGAACATCTGGGACACGTTCGCCGTGAGTCGGCGCTCGTTTCGTTCCGTCAGGGCAGCGCTGCGCCTTGCGCGGCGCCGCTGCGGCTGCGCGTAGATGAGGAGCTGACTCTCCCTTCCTCGCCCGCAGCACGGCGCCACCCTGTGCCTCACGACGCCCTCGTCGCTCTACTCGTCCCTCGCCGACTCGATCCTCGCCCTCGAGTGCACCCTCGTCGACTTGACGCCGACGATCGGTGCCATACTGTTCGAGCACGACGAGGCGCAGTCGCGCGAGGGCGAGTCGGTCCGAGACGCGTGGCGCAGGGCCGGATTCAAGATCAAGCAGGTCAACACGGGCGGCGAGAAGGTCGAGAAGGCCGTGAGGGACAAGTGGCGCGAGCGAGGCGTGCGCGTGTGCATCGACTATGGGCCGACGTACGTCCTCGCTCCCTCCTGCCCTCCCCTCTCGACGTCTTGACTCGACTCTGACGCTCTCGGCCACACACAGCGAGACGACCGTCGGCGTCATCTCGAACCAGTCGCTCTCGCCCTCGCCTCCTGCGCCCTTTTCGCTCCCCATCGGCCGCCCGACCGGCTCGACCCGCATCCACATCCTCCCGCCCTCGTCTTCCACCTCGTCCCCCTCGTCCCTGCGCCCTCTTCCCCTCGGCTGCATCGGCGAGATCTGCGTCCTCGGCGCCCAGGTCACGCGCGGCTACGTCCGCGCCGAGCTCAACGCCGGCGTCTTTGTCGCGTCCGACGGGTCCGAGGGCATCGGCGAGAAGGGCGAGGTCGTGTACCGCACCGGCGACCTCGGGCGGTGGGTCGTCGCCGAGTGGGAGGGCGAGGGGGAGCAGGAAGGGTGGATCGAGTGCCTCGGGAGGAAGGACGGCCAGGTCAAGGTCAACGGGCTGCGGTGCGTCTTCCTCCCCTCGACCGTCCTCGCGTCGAGACCGGTTGTCCTGACTCTCCTCCTTCCGCTCGTGTGCAGCATCGAGGTCGGCGAGATCGAGGAGAACCTGTCGTCCAAGGCCAACCCGGCCGTCTCGCGCGGCATCGTCGACAAGGTCGAGCTTCCCTCGCTCGGCACCGCCCTCGTCGCCTTCCTCGAGCTCTCGCCGTCCTTCCGCCCGCCGTCGTCGACCACCGCCGAGGCGCACCACTCGCACTCGGCCGGCGCCATCGAGATCATGCCGCTCACCTCGACCTCGACTTTCGCCGACCTCACCGAAGACCTCAAGGCCCGACTCGCCGACAAGCTCCCGGGCTACATGGTCCCGCGGTACTGGCTCGCCGTCAACCGCATCCCGACCCAGGGCATGGGCAAGGCCGACCGCAAGGCGCTGCGCTCGCTCGCCGAGGCCTTCGACTTTCGCGGCGCGACTCGCGCTCAGCGCCCGTCCACGTCGAACGGCACGACCGAGCTCGTCGAGGACGACGAGCGCACGCACACGCGCTCGCCGGCGTTCGACGCGGCGCGCCGAGCGTGGGCCAAGATCCTGCGCCTCGCCGACGAGGACGGTGCGGCGTCGATCGCCGACCAGGACAGCTTCACCAAGCTCGGCGGCGACTCGATCCGGTTCATGAAGCTCGTCGGCGCGCTGCGGGCCGAGGGCTACCGCCGTGTCACGTTCCGCGACCTCGCCGAGGCGGCGACGCTTTCTGCGTGCGCCGCTGCGCTCGAGCGCGTCGGCGCCGACAGCGCCGGACCCGCCGAGAACGGCACGTCGACGACCGCCGCGCCGGTCGACACGCCGTACGAGCGCTTCTCGCTCATCCCCGCCGCGCAGCACGACGCCCTGTTCGCCGAGCTCGCGACCTCGAGCCCTCCCCTTCCTCGCGCCCGCATCGCCGACGTCTACCCGACCTCGCCCGCGCAGGACGCGCTCCTCGCCCCGTCGTTCGACTCGCCTCGAGGGCACTACTACGCCCAGGCCGTGTACGCCGTCCCTGTCGTCGAGGCCCAGCTCCCGCTCGACAAGCTCCAGAGGTGCGTGCGCGAACTCGTTCGGCGGCACGACGTCCTGAGGGAGGTGTTCGTCGTGAGCGAGACGCTCGAGCGCACGATCGCGGTCGTGCTCGAGGCGGAGGATGAGGAGGTGAGGCGGCAGGTCGAGATCGAGCGGGTCGAGGTGCGAGAGGGCGAGAAGGTGGACGAGGTCGTCGGGGTGCGTCCCCTCTTTCTCTTTCATGACCCTCTCTGCCCGCCTGTCACTCGAAGAACCCTGACTGACTGCCCCTCGTGCTGCAGGACTGGCTCCGCCGCGACCGCGAGGCGCACTCGTTCCAGTGGGGCCGCCTCTCGCTCTCGTTCGCTCTCTTTTCGCTCATCAACGGCGATCGCAAACTTGCCTGGAGCATGCATCACGCCATGAGGTACGTCCACTCTCGCTCATACTGGCGTCCCGCTCTCGCCGCCGAGACTGACTCGTGGCCTCCTGCAGCGACGGCTGGACGCTCGAGCTCCTCACGGCCGACCTGCGCGACCTGTGCTTCGGCCTGTCGCCGCCTAGTCGCCCGTCGTTCGGCAACGTCGCCGGCTGGTGGCTCGGCGAGTCGTCGCCGCCGCAAGACACGGTCGACTTTTGGCGCGGCTACCTCGACGGCGCGCGTCCGCTCGGCTGGCCGTCGCAGGCTCCGCTCGACGGCGACATGCTCGCGACGACGGGTGCCGCCATCCAGCATTGGTCGGGCGAGCTCGACGCCTTGTCCCACAAGCACGGCATCACGCCCGCCATCGCGAGCCGGGTTGCCATCCTCGTCGCGCTGCAGCACCACGCCCAGTCGAGCGACGTCAACGTCGGCATCGTGCGCTCGGGCCGCGACATCGACGTTGTCGACGCCGACGAGATCATCGGGCCTTGCGTCTCGGTCCTCCCGTCGCGCATCCGGTTCGACGAGTCGCGCTCGTCGTCGCTCCTGTCGCTCGCTCGCGCCGAGGCCGAGGCCGACCGTCGCGCCCGCCTGCACCAGCACGTGACGCTGTCGCAGCTCGCGTCCGTGTGCGACCTCGCCGGTGGGCGCGCCGACCTGTTTGACATCCTCGTCACGTTCCAGTCGCTCGCCGAGCGGGACCCGGCGTTCGACGAAGCCGCGCCGTGGCCGATCCGCCAGCCGCCCGAGCGCATCCACATGCCAACCAACTACACGCTCTCGTTCGAGGTGACGCCCGAGATGCACGACAAGGACCGCCTCGAGCTCGCGTGCTTCTTCGACGAGCGCATCGTCGACCAGGCCGAGGTCGAGGCCGTGCTCAAGAGCGTCGCGACCGTGCTCGACTACCTCACGACGGCGCCGTGCACGACTGTCGAGGACGTCAAGCTCGTCGGCGATGCGGCGAGCGACCTCGCGCGGGCCAAGCGGGCGACGACGAGTGACGCGGCGGCGAGGGCCGGGTCTGCTGCTGCTCCGCCTGTCGAGCTCGACGGCGAAACGGTCGAGTACGTCGAGCGGCTCAAGAGGGAGTGGGCGGCGGTGCTCAGGGTGGACGAGGGCGAGATCGGCGCTCACGACAGCTTCAGCTCCCTGGGCGGCGATTCGGTGCGTTCTCTCTTTCTCTCCTTCTCTCTCCGTTCCATCTCTCTTCCCTTCTGACTCGTCGGGTCGTCTCACAGATCTCGACGATGCGGCTGGCGGTGCGGCTCAAGAAGGTCGGGCTCGCGGTCCCGACGCAGCAGCTCTCGAAGTTGCCGACGGTCGCCCAGCAGGCACAGTGGCTGCGCCAGAAGGCGGCTCAGTAGACTTGGATAGACGTAGAATGCATCATCCGCGCATCAGATCCTCCTCTCGAGAGAGTTTGTCGACTGCGTCTCGAGCAAGGACGAGGAGAAGATGAGGCGGGCCGGCTCTCCACAGCACGCCCGCCTTTGCCCGCCCCTAGTCGAGCTGCTCGCCGCTGCAGCAAGCACCGCCCAGCTGGCCCCGCTGCCCTAGCCTGGCGCACGCCCGTGCCTCGCCTCTCGTCCTCGATGAGCCAACTCGACCGGCACGAGGCGGAGGCCATGCAGCACGTCCTGTTCGAGCAGTACGCCGAGCTGAAGCGGCTCTCGGCGCAGCAAGGTGCTGGCAGCGCTCCCGCCAAGCGTCCACGCGACCCGGACGGCGCCGACGTCGACACCAAGCCCCGCCTCGTCCTCCACCCTCCGCTCGCGTCGACGCCGCCGCCGCCCAGGGTCCACGTCGAGGGCTGGCACGCCGTCGCCAGGGCGCTCGCGTTCTCGGGCCAGGTCCCGCCGCTCCTGTCGCGCGCCCTGTTCCGCCTCGCCGCCGGCGAGAGCGCACTCGACGCCGCCGCACCCGGCGTCGACCAGATCCCGTCCGCCGTGCCCTGGCCAGCAGGGTCGCTCGAGCGCTTCGAGAAGGGCCGCATCTTCCACACGCGCACCCCTGTCCGCAAGGCGAGCGGCGCGCCCAACTGCATCGAGCTGCACGAGCTCCTCCGCCCCGAGTCGATCCGCGGCCTGTGGATGAACACCTTCCTGCCCGAGGTGGACCTGTTCGGCCCGCTGTTGCCCATCGACGGCTTCGAAGGCGGCCCGCACCGGTGGCGCAACGTCCCGATCCACGTCTCGGGCGACATCCACACGGACCGGCTGCGCGACGTCGCCTGCGCCCGCGCCGGCATCGCCAACAAGGCCCGGTACAATCAGAAGGACCACGCCGTCGTGTCGGCCGAGCTCGCGACCCTGTGGAAGCTCGTCGCCGGGCCCAACTGGAACGCCGTGTACCCGTTCGGCGCGAGGTGCGTCCACTCGAAGGCGTTCGTCATCAAGTACCCCGAGTGGCTCCTCGTAGTCATCACGTCGGCCAACGCCATGCGCGGCGACATGGAGCTCAGCGACAACGTGCGTCCCTCTTTCTCTGTCTCTCCCTTCCCTTCCCGTCCCTCCCTCCTCCCTTGCTTTCCCTCCCACCCGCCTTCTCTCGCACCCTATTCTCGCCGCCCGACGGACACTGACCCGGACTTTCTTCGCGCCGCAGCACTGGTTCGTCCAGTCGTTCAAGAAGCTGTCGAGGAGCGAGCGCGGCCACCTGTCGACCGACTTTGAGCAGCGCCTGTTCGCCCACATGGCCGACCTCGGCTGCCCCGAGTCGTACCTCGCCGACCTGCGCGGCAAGTACAACTTTGGCGCGACCGTTGACCGTGTGCACCTCGTCCCGTCGACCCCTCGAGTCAAAAACATGCCGGCCTGCGACGACTTTTCCGTGTTCCGCCTCAACTCGCTCGCGCAGCAGATCATCCCCGAGGCCGAGCGCCACGACGTCGAGCTCGAGTTCTGCTGCGGGAGCGTCGGTCCGCTGCACGAGGCGCAGGTCTGGGTCAAGCGGGTCGACCGGCTGCTGAGGGGGAGGAACCCGCAGCGGGCGGTCGAGGGCGACGTCGACGGGTGGGAGCTGCCCAAGTGGCGCGTCGTGTTCCCGACGAGGGAGACGGTTCACGCGTGCGACGACGACGTGCGCTCTGTGCGTCCCTCTTTCTCTCTCTCCCCCGTTTCTCGAGCTCGACCTGGCGACGTGGACTGACCCTTTCTCCCGCCACAGGTCGCGTCCAACATCGGCTGCTGCATCCGCACCTCGGCCTTCCCCTCGGCGCCTGTCGACATCCGCTCCATGTTCCACGACTACCAGTCCAAGGACTACTCGAGCCTGTTCCACGAGAAGATGATCCTGTGGCGCCGCCCGTCCTCGTCGACGTCGCCCTCGCCCTCGCCGACGCCCTACATGATCTACCTCGGCTCGCACAACCTGTCGAAGGCGGCCCTCGGTGACCCGGTACTCGCCCCGGCGCGTGGCACCAAGCCCGCGTCGCGCAAGCTCACGGCGCAGAACTTTGAGCTCGGCGTCGTCGTGCGCGGCGAGGACCTCGTCTCGATGCTCGAGCCTGGGCCGGGCGCGTCGTGGGAGGACGTCCTGACGTACGTGACGCCGGCGAGGCCGTACAGGAGCGGCGAGGTGCCGTGGAACAGCCCGGCGTGGGTCGCCAACGAGGAGTGAGCGGTTCTCTCTCCCTCTCTCTCTCTTTTTGTACCTTGTCTGTGTCTTCGAGCCCCTCGGTGCTCTCCGCTTTGTCATTGTCTCTACCTTTGCAATCTATTTAGCGCGTCCTTTCTCACCGCGAGGCGAGCTCGCGCGGGCGCGATGAGGAGGAGAGCGAGGAGTGACATTGCCTCGAGCTTGGCTGCCAGTCGTGAGCGGGGCACAGGGCGTGGCTAGAGCGAGATCTACCGAATTCCCTCGAGCCCACAGTCGCCACGAGGCGAGCGAGTTCATCTGAGGTTCGCCGCGAACGAGCGAAGGACGAAGCTGTCCTGGCCGCGTCTCGCACACGACTCGCCGCTCAGCCAAACCGAGCAGAGCGTCTAGCAGCTCAGCAGCACCCCCACCGAGCCCACCATGCCCCGCCTCCCTCGCGCCCTCGTGTCGTCGTCCCGGGCCGCCCTCTCCTCCGCCCGCCCTCAGCCGGCCACCCTCCTCGCGCGCGCACCCGCACCAGCACCAGCACCAGCGGCGCCTGCCGCCCGCTCCACGCCGACCCTCTTCCGCCCGAGTGGCGCGCGGCCCCTCCTCGCCTCGCTGCGGCCGACCCTCGTCTCCCCCTCCTCGTCCTCGTCGCCCCTCCTGTCGCTCCTCCTCGCGTCGCGCCCCGCCGCCGACCAGCAGCAGGTCCGCACGGCCGTGTACGGCGCCGAGTACCAGCCGTCGCAGGTGCGCCGCAAGCGCAAGCACGGGTTCCTCGTCCGCAAGAAGTCCAAGACGGGCCGCAGGACGCTCGCGAGGCGGTGGGCAAAGGGGCGCAAGTTCCTCAGTCACTGAGCGGGCGAACGGGAGGGCCAGGCCGGCGAGGTGGAGCGGGCAGCGAGCTGAGCCCGGTTGCCGCGAGCGCGGCCACCATCTTCGTCGTCGTCGTCGAGCGGACGAGGTCAGGGTTCCAGGTCGTCGAGGTCGGCGTGACGCCTCAAGATCCGGTCAAGGATGTGCGAGGAACTCTGGGCGATCGGCGCCGCGAGGAGGACCAAGGAGGATAGCTGTCGGCGAGCTGTACTGTACCAACTTCGCTTCTTCCTCTCTCGCGCTCTCGCATCTCCTCTCGCCTCTCGCTCCGAGAGAAACATCTCGAGAACGTCCCTCGGTTGCAGTTCCCTGCCGCCGCCGCTCGCCGCCTCGCCGCCTCAAGGGCTCAGAACACGAGCTGCCGGAACGTCAACGAGATGCGACTGCCCTTGCACGCGCGCTTCTCGCGCGGCACCTCGTGTTTCCAGTGCTGCTGCATGGCGCCCTGCATGACGAGGAGCGAGCCCGACGCGAGCGTCGAGCGGTGTGTGTACACGAGCGCCGGTGCGGGCGGTCGTGGCGGCGGGTCGGTCGGGTCCGAGGGCGAGGACGAGGACGAGGACGAGGTCGAGTGAGGGGGCGCAGTGGGAGGGACGTCCGAGGGCGCAGAGGTGGACAAAGCCGGGGGAGGGTGCGTGTGCGTGAGGATAAAAGTGCGCGGCTGGCCGAGCGAGAGGGACGCGATGACGCTGTGGGCCGTGCCCACGAGGGTCGTCAGGTTGCGCTCGCCGAGTGCGCCGAGTGAGGAGGGGGAGGAGGAGGAGACGGACCGATTCTCGCGGTTGTCGCGGTGCTTGCCGATGTAGACGCTGCGGGAAAGGGCGGAGGGGACGAGGGCCGTGCGCTTGGGCTGTCAGTGCCGCCCGCCGTTTCGACGCCCAGGGAGAGAACTACGACAGAGAGAGGGTGAGAGAGGGAGAGACGCACCCTCCGTCCTCGTACAAGTTGGCCATGACGTGATTGTAAAGGCACCCGGTGCGCGCCTCGACGAGGTCCTGGATCTTGCGCAGGAGGGGCGGGTAGTCGTAGCTCATCTTGACCGGGTGGCCGCTGTACTTGAGCTCGAGCGAGCGGTCGGTGGCGAATGCTGAGAGTCGGGGGAGGGCGACTTGTCAGTACGAGGAAGAGGGCGACGCGCGAGAGACCGGCGAGGACGCACCGGCGATCTTGCGCGACTGGACGACGTCCTTGCCGTAGACCTTGAGCGTTGGTCGGTACCCTGTGTGGCGGCGACGGGCGAGCGGGTCGAGGAGGGCGAGGAAGAGAAGAAGAGACGGGGCGAGCGGGACGCAAGGAGTTCAGTCTCGGGTTCCGAGGGACGAGAGAGCGATGGAAGCGCAAGCTCACACTCGTCGAGGTTGACGAGCTCGTCGTGCCACTGTTGAGCGGTCGCCTCGTCGACGATCGAGGGGACGTAGAAAGCGTCGCCGTCGGCGAGCGGGAGACGGTACTCGTCGAGGCAGGTGACCTGGGACGACTCGGCGGCGTCGACCGTGAGGCGAGCGCGCTTCGACTTGGGCTTGGGAGCGTCACGCGGCGTCGGCTTGCGCTTTGTGGACTTGGGCTCGGTGGCGTCGGCTTGACGGCGGCGAGGAGGCGGCGAGGAAGCCATCTCGAGCGGGTCTAGCGAGGGCGACCGGCAGAGAGCGGCACGCGAGAGGGTCGTGTGGGCGGAAAGAAGCAAAGAGTCCAGCTGTTGCGACGAGGGAGAGCTGCGGAGCCGGAAAGGCGAGAGAGAGAGAGGAGCGACCTCGGATTCGCTCGTGTCCCTTCCCCATTCGCTCCTCGTCTCGCACGCCCTCCTAGACGCCATGGTCCAGTGCGTCCTCGTCCCTCGATCCTCTGCGTGCCGCGCACCCGCACTCGGGCGGCCTCCTCGCGAGCCGCTTGGTCGTTCCACTCGCCCTCGTCCTCATCGCACCCACCGTCGTCGCCGCACCCCGAGCACCCGCCCGTCCAGCCGCCAGGACCCACCTGACTCGCACTTTGCACCCACCAGGCCCCGCATCCAGCCCCTCAAGCCCGGCCGTGCGGTCATGGGCTTCACCCCGGCCTTCTTCACCAAGCTGGCGCCCAACCTCGCCCTGTCCGTCGTCCTCTCGCCTTGTCCATCTATGTCGCCCAGGCACACAGTGACTGACCGTCCTCTCTCTCGACGCACGCAGCTGGGGCTTTGCGGGCGTTGGTGCCATCGCCGTCCTCGCGTCCGGCATCCCCCGCTTCCAGCGCGAGTGCGTCCCCCCTCACTCTCTCTGCCTCTTGCGCAGAGGGTCGTACCTCCCGTCGGTTCACTCGCTGACTCTTCGAGCCCCACCGCAGCGTCCTCGACATGGTCCCGGGTGTGCGTCGGCCTCTCGCGCTTGCTGGTCCTGTTGCCTCCGGGTCGAGGAGCAGGACACCGTCTTGCTCTCGGCGCGGTGTGCCCACCTTCGTCGCACGTGCTGACACGCCTTTTACCGCGCTCGCAGGTCCGCAGCTACTACGTGAGTCTGCGCCAGTCCTCGCCGTCGAGCATGTCGAGGCGGCGGCGCTGTCCTCTCGGCGTCGCCTGCTCGCCTGCCGCCGCGGTCGTCACTGACTCACACTTTACTTCGTGCACAGGCCGACGACACGCCCGACTCGGACAAGGTGCGCCCCTTCTCGCCCTTCTCTGCCCTCGCACTCGCGCACGACCTGACCCTCCTCGCCGCCCCTCCCTCTCGCGCAGCCCTTCTAAGCGACTCTGTTTCTGTCTGTGTCTTCTGTGTGTGGCTCGGGAGGTGGCCGGGAGGAGTAGACGTGCAACTCGAGGGGCCTTTCCGCGATTCGAGTCGGTCGCGCCGCGAGAGCGAGAGTGAGAGGCGCTCTCGAGCTGGAGCGTCGTGTGCAGGATGCGAGGTTCTGAACAAGGGCGTCGATTGCTCTCGCTTGTTGCACTGGGCGTTTGCGAGCGTGAGAGAGCTGCAAGGGCGAGGCAGCAGAGGGTGGCCGTCTCGAGCGCAAGAGCCGGCCGCACTTCTCTTGCTCTCTGTACCCCGGGCCACTTCCTTCGCGTTAGTCTGCTCGTCTATCCTGCGCACCGACTCGCACCTACACGACCACCCAGACCGCCACCGTCCACACCCCGAGCCGCCGTCGCCGTTTACGAGGGGCGAAGCTCGTGCCCCGCAGCTTTTCTGCGCCGCAAGGTTGCGACGACCGCTCGCTCGCTCTGCGGGCACGGGCGAGTGTGCGAGGGCGGTCTAGAGGGGCATTGGGCGAGAATGAGCCCGTTCAGACGAGTGCACGAGCTGACCTTGTTGCCCTGCCGCCGCCTCTTCCCTCTCCCGCCTCGATCCTCCTCGACCCGCCTTCGCCTCTTCGCCAACCTTCTCGCCTACCGCGCCTGTCCGCCTCGATCCGCCTGCAACTCTCCCACAACCGCCACACGCTCCCGCCGCAAACAGCATGCCTTTCGTCGTGCGTCCACCGCCCTCTCTCGCTCTCTCGCCGCCTTGAGCAGGACCGTACACTGACCCGGCCTCGCCGAGCCACCCTGCAGAAGACCCAGAAGAACGACGCGTACTTCTCCCGTTTCCAGGTCAAGTACCGTCGCCGTCGTGAGGGCAAGACCGACTACTACGGTCCGTCCCTCCTTCCCTCTCCTCGTCGCCCTCTCACGGCTACGGGACTGACCCCGGTACCCGCACGCCTGCAGCGCGCAAGCGTCTCGTGGTCCAGGCGAAGAACAAGTACGCGAGCCCGAAGTACCGCTTGGTCGTCCGCATCACCAACCGCGACGTGATCTGCCAGGTCCTCATGGCTAACGTACTAAGCTCTCATGGCTAACGTACTAAGCTCTCATGTTTCACGTACTAAGCTCTCATGTTTGATCGTCTCGGCCAAGCTCCAGGGTGACGTCGTCCTCGCCGCCGCCTACTCGCACGAGCTCCCGCGCTACGGCATCAAGCACGGCCTCACCAACTGGGCCGCGTGCTACGCGACCGGTCTCCTCGTCGCCCGCCGTGCCCTCACCAAGCTCGGCCTCGCCGACAAGTACGAGGGCATCACCGAGCCCTCGGGCGAGCTCGAGCTCACCGAGGCCATCGAGGGCGAGCCGCGCCCGTTCAAGGCCTTCCTCGACGTCGGTGTCGCGCGCACCTCGACCGGTGCCCGCGTCTTTGGCGCCATGAAGGGCGCGTCGGACGGCGGCATCTTTGTCCCCCACTCGGAGGGCCGCTTCCCGGGCTTTGACCCCGAGTCCAAGGAGCTCGACGCCGAGGTCCTCCAGTCGTACATCTACGGTGGCCACATTGCCGAGTTCATGGAGGTGCGTCCACCGTCTCGCTCGTCAAATCCCACCCCTCCACGTCCCGTCGTCGTCGAGCGAGAGCTCGGCGCGGTTCCCCACCTTCTCGCGCCTCTAGCGCCTCAAGCAGACGTCGCCAGACGTTCTCGTTACTTTATTCGTGCTCACCGTGGTCTGTTGTCTACAGAGCCTCGAGGAGGAGGACGAGGAGCGCTTCCGCAAGCAGTTTTCGTCGTTCCTCGAGGACGACATCTCGTCCGAGGACATCGAGGACATGTACCGGTGCGTCCAAGAACCGCTCCTCGCCCTCCTCCTCATCCTACCCTCTCCACGAGCTCGTCGACCCTGTCACGGCGTCATCGTCGCTGTCGTCGTGCCGCCCCAGCGTCAACGCCCGCCGAAACTGACCCGCTCGACCCCCCCTCCCCTCGACGACAGCGAGGCGCACGAGAAGATCCGCGAGGACCCCTCGTACACCAAGACGGACAAGGCCGACCTCGCCTCGTGGAAGGAGGCGTCCAAGAAGACGCACCCGAAGAAGCTCTCGCTCCAGGAGCGCCGCGAGCGCGTCGAGGCCAAGAAGGCCGAGTGGCTCGCGTCGCGCGAGTAAAGCGCCGCCACCCGGCGCTTGCTCGGACGATGGTGAGGGGCACCCTGGAGAAGGGGTTGGTGGGACGGAGTGCGACTGGGCGGTGTGGGCGCGCGAGGAGGAGGAACGAGGAGGCGGACTTTGCCCTCTCTCTCTCTCTCTGGCTCGTCTAGCTGGCCGGGCCTGTACTTCGGGAGTGGAATCGCCAGTGCGGATGTTCCACTTCTACCGTGTGCGCGCCTGCAGAGAGCTCGTCGAGAGAGACGTGCAGCTCAGAGTGATCGACGAGGTGGTCGACCTTCATCAGCTCGACCTTTCTCTCGCTCGCTACACCGCGCCAACTGCTGGTGCCGGCCATGAGCCTCTCTTCAAGCCCGTGAGCTCGCCTCTGCGCCTCTCTCGAGTCCCGCAGCAGCCCCGACTGACCCTGCCCCCCGCAGCGACCTCCCCGCCCTCCTCGCCGACGACCGCCCGCTCGCGCTCCTCACCGACGTCGCCCAGGCGCACGACACGGCGTCCTCGGGTGCCCACGTGCAGCCGACCAAGTGCACCTTCGCGCTCGTAGAGCACCAAGGCGGCGAGGGCGGTGGGTGTGGGGAGCGGCACTCGCTGTCGACGAGGGCAGCGTGCGTCGCTGTGGTCCTCTTGCGCATGATCTTGCAGTACCACCGCGAGTACTGACAGGCCGCCCTCGCCGTACAGGGTGCTCGTCCTCCAAGATGGCGTCGTCGAGCGAGTCGTGCCCGTCGAACGGGGCGGCAAGGTCGAGGTCGCGCAGCTCGCTGCTGGTGCTCAAGCCGGTGCTGGTGGACCTCGTGCGTCCAGACGTTCTCTACTGTCAAGGTGCGACCAGGACTGACTCGCGCTCGACGACCGCCGCACGCAGAATCCCGCATCACGCTCTCGCCGCCTCCCTCGTCCTCCTCGAGCTCCCCGCTCGCGTTCGAGGCCGACGTCCTCTCTCGGCCCGTCACCGACTTCCTCTCGGCCCTCGACACGGCGCAAAAGCGCGCCGGTGCGGCGCCTACCGGTGGCGACGAGGGCGAGGACGGGTTCGCGTGGGCGAGGGGGTACGAGGGCGCGAGGGCGAGGCGAGGGGACGGGCGACTGAGCCCGACGAGGACGAGGAGTGGAGGGAGGAACCGTGCTTCGTCTTCTGGTGCGTCGCGCCTCGCGCTTGACCCTCCCTTTCACGCCGCCCTGACCGACCGCCCTCCTCGCGCCGCTCGCAGTCTCGCACCTCTCGGCGACCTCGTCCCTCGGCCCCGCACCGCCGCCAACTTTCGGCCGCCTGTCGCCCGAACCGTCGTTCGCGTCGTCGAGCGGCAGCACCGGGCGCCCGTTCGACCCGGAGGACGCGGCCGAGGACTATGCGGCCGAGGAGCGCACCGCGACGGAGCGGTGGGTTGCGCAGCGGTTGAGCGAGAGGGAGGACGAGTTCCTCGAGCGAGACGAGATCCGGTGCGTCCCCCTTATTCTCAAGCTCGTCGCGAAGGGAGAGGAAGGCGCTGCGGCAAGGCCGGACGGGACTGACTCTCGAGCGCCGCCGCCTGCAGGGTCTGGAGCGGCACGTTCAACGTCAACGACAAGCAGCCCAAGGGCGGCGCACCAGACGTCCAAGCCTGGGTCGACGAATGCGACGGCGCAGAGCTGCTCGTGTTTGGGTACGTCCCCCCTCCCTTCCTTTCTCTCTCGCTCGTCCGCCTCGATCGGGCGCCCGACCTGACGCCTCGCGCCGACGCCTACAGGTTCCAGGAGCTCGACTTGTCGACCGAGGCCATGCTGCGCTACACGCCGTACCGCGAGGACGTGTGGCGCCGGGCTCTCGAGGAGGCGCTCGCGCTGCGGTTCCCCGACGTCGCCTACTCAAAGGTGCGTCGCCCTCTTTCCCTTCTCTCTCTCTCTCTCGGGCACGCATACCGAGTGCAGGACTGACTTGCCGTCGACCCTGCATCGCAGCTTCATTCGCGCCAGCTCGTCGGCGCCCTCATCATCATCTACGTGCGCCACGACGTGCGCGAGCACGTGTCGGACGTCAGCAGCGCGAGCCTCGCGACCGGGCTCATGGGCCTCATGGCCAACAAGGGCGCTGTCGGTATCCGCCTGCGGTGCGTCGCACTCGTTCGCCTCTCGTCGCGCTCGGCCCCCTTCTCTCGGACCCGAACCTGACGATGGGCGCGTTGCTGCTGCAGGTACCGCGACACGCCACTCACGTTCGTCAACTCGCACCTGGCCGCCTTTGTGCAGAACACGGCGCAGCGCAACGCCCAGTACCGCGACACGGCCGAGCAGCTCTTGTTTCCGTACGGCCCGCCGGGCTCGGCGACGGCGGCGGCGGCGGCTCGCGGCGCCGAGGCGTGGACGCCCAACCTCAACCCCGAGGCGGTCAAGGTCGGCGAGGGGTGGAGCGTGTGGGAGAGCGAGGTGCTCGTGTGGTTCGGCGACCTCAACGTGCGTCCACCTCTCGCCGGACCGGGTCCTCGTCCTGTCCGCACAGCGCGACGTGACTGACTCGTTCCCACGCGATCTTTGCCGCAGTACCGCCTCGACCTTCCCCGAGCCGACGTCGACCGCATGATCGGCAACAAGGAGTACGACCTCCTGCTCGGGTTCGACCAGCTCCGGGTCCAGCAAGAGCACGACCTCGCGTTCGAGGGCTTCGCCGAGGCGCCCATCTCGTTCGCGCCGACGTTCAAGTTTGACGTCGGGACCCACAACTACGACACGTCGTGCGTCGGCTCGTGTCCCCCCTCCCTCGTTCGAGGAGTCGTTCCCTTCCTTGGCCAAGAAAAGGCGACTGACTCGCGCCTCACCTCACCTACAGCGAGAAGCAGCGCGTCCCGTCCTGGACCGATCGGATCCTGTACATGGGCCTGCGCGACGACGCCGTGCGCGCCGTCGAGCGCTACACGAGCCATCCCGAGGTCGTCATGAGCGACCACAAGCCCGTCTCGGCCATGCTCTCGCTCTCGGTCCGTCCCTCGTCTCTCTTCCTCTCGCAGTTGGAGGACTGTCGACTGATCATGTGCGTCCTGGCAGGTCTACAACGTCTTGCAGGAGAAGAGGAGGGAGGTGCACGAGGAGATCGTCGCCGAGCGTGCGTCCCCTCGTCCACCCTCGAGCCTGCCGCCGCGTCCACCCTCGAGTCTGCCGCCGCGTCCTCACTCACACACCTCTACGCGCGCAGTGGAGCAGTACGACGGCGACGAGCTACCCGACGTCAAGCTGGCGCCGAGCCCGTCGATCGACTTTGACGAGATTCGGTACGACGAGCCCGTCAAGCGCGAGATCGAGGTCGTCAACGTCGGCACGGTCGTCGCGCCCTGGGCGTTCGTCGTCAAGCCCGGCACGTCGTCCCTCACGCCGCCCTGGCTCGTCGTCACGCCCGCCTCGGGCCTCGTCCTCCCCGGCGCCCGCCAAACCATCACCCTCACGATCCACGTCACCTCGTCCTCGGGCGCCGACGCGCTCTCCTTCCCGATGAGCACGAGCGCGGCCGACATTGCCGACCTCCTCGTCCTCTCGCTGCGCGGCAAGGACCTGTTCCTCTCGGTCTCGGCGCGCGCTTGGACCCCGACCGTCTTTGGCGCCCGCCTCCCGCACCTCGTCCGCCTCGCGTCGCCCATCCGCGAGACGAACCTCGAGCAGCGCGTCCGCATCGCCCAGGTCGTCGCGGCGGCCGACAAGGGTGCGCCGGCCGGGCCCGACGGCGACGACGTGCCGCGGTCGGCGGTGCCGCTCGTGCTGCACAACCTCGTCGGGTTCCTCGCCGAGCACGCGCTCGACGTGCCCGGCCTGTTTGCGATGCCTGGCGACGACGAGCTCGTGCGGCTCGCGAGGGAGTGTCTCGACACGGTGCGCTCCCTCTCTCTCTCTTTCTCGCTCGACCCTCTCGAGCGTGCCTCGCGAACTCGTCCTGACTCTTTCGCGCATCCTGCAGGGCTCCGACTTTCCTCTCGACCGCTTCCTCGCGACGGCTTCTACGACCGCAACGGCCGACCACGATGAGGCGCCGCACGAGCCGCATCACGCCGAGGTTGCCGACGCCGTCGCCGCGCTCGACGCCCTCGAGGCCGACATCGGCGCCATCTCGCTCTCGTCGCCGAGCCTGCCGTCCCGACCATCCTCGCCTCATTTGCGCACCTCGGCGGGCCGCAGCAACGGCGCCCGCCTTGGCGCCAGCGACGACGGCGAGCCGGACCACCTTGGCCTGCACTCGCTCGCGGCGTGCACGCTCGGCTTCCTCGCGTCGCTCGCCGAGCCCGTCGTGTGTTGGAGCGCGTACGAGCGGGCGCTCGGGTGCGAGGACCGCGACGAGGCGTACAGGGTCGTGAGGGAGCTGCCCGAAGCGGTGCGTCCTTCTTTTTCTCTCCTTCTCTTCCTCCCTTTCTCCTTCTCTCGCTCAAGACTTTGACTGACTCTTGCTCTCCTCGTCGTTCAGCACGCCAACGCGCTCTTGTACATCTTGGCGTTCCTGCGCGTCTTGCTCAACGAGACGGCCGACCTCGAGGAGCGCGAGGCGAGGCGGGATCGACTCGGTGCGTCGCGCTCGTTCCTCTCTTCGGCCTGGTGACCTCCTAGAGGCTACAAAGGCCGTGACGTTCGACGGCGCGACAAGCCCTGACGTACATTTGCGCCTCTCGCAGCCGTCATTTTCTCGACCGTCCTTCTGCGCGCACCGCCTCCTTCCTCCTCGGCCACCACCGGCTCAGCACCGCCAGCACCGCCGAGCAGCACTGTCGACCCGACGACCGTTCCGCGACGCAAGAAGACGTTTGTGCTCCTGCTGCTGCGGGACCAGGAGGCACCGAGCGCGACGAGTGGCGGCAAGGTGAGGTGAGGGCGAGGGCTCGGGATGTAGCTCTCTCGTTCTCGGCGTGTCGTATCTTTCTTTGCATTGCATCTCTGTGCAGCATCGTGTGCGTCGGTCCGAGAGAGTCTGCGCCATCGAGAGTTTCCACGACGCGAGGTCGGCCTTGTCCGTCTTGGTGTACGAGGGGTCCTCGCGGATCTTCTCGTGCGCCTCGCTGTCGTCGAGGGGGGGGGGGGGGGGG